TGATAACAGTTTTTCTGTTCCCTTTATACCTGAAAGTCAGTTTGCTATACGTATGTAAAATCTTGGCTTATTTTATCCTCGTAGGTATTGTAAAATACATATGTAACAAACCTGCACGTTATGCACATGTACCCTACAACTTAAAGTATAATAATAATAAATAAATTTTAAAAAATGTTACTCTATTTTCTTCTTTTATAAAGTTAGAAAGTTAGTTATTTTATTTCCCTGTTCGGTTACCTACACCCACATGGCTTCTTGCTCTTTAAAGCCCAGTTATTGGATTAGAATGTGTCTTGGTGTAAGTGGCCTGGAGCAGTAGTCTACGGTAAAGAATGAGCTTTTCGTCCTTTAAATCTTTAAATCTTCTCCCTCTGCGGAGCACCTTCTCAGCCTGCACGTCGGGGCCTCGGCTTGGGGCCCTGGCTTTGCTTTTCGCCCTCAGCATCTCCCATTATGCTTGTGTTGAATCTTCTGTACCTATTTTTACTGTGTCACTCTCTGTTGAATTTTTTAAATCTTTGTCATTTCTTTTTTATTTTTTAAATCTTTTCTTATTCACACCTTCTATTCCTCCTTATTTGCTCTTATTTTCCTTCTAGTTTAGTCTTCATTTCAGAAATGATTTTTTTCTTGTATGCCACAATTCTATCTCAGTTTTATTGCCTCACAGTGTTCTAATTCTGATTTGTGTTACTCTTTATAGTTTTGGGCCATTTCCTTAGTGTATCTCAGCTCGTCGTGAACTCAGAGGTTGCACATTTGCCCTGCTGTGGGTGAACTTCTTGTGGGGCATTTTCATTGTCTGTAGGCATTTCATTCTGCCCTCTACTCTCTATTCTCTAATATTACTTTTGTGTGGGATTTACCTTCAGTACTTTTCTAATGTTAATTTATATGTAAAATTGGATATCCTGAAGTTTTAGAAAAAGTGGGATTCGATGTAGATTTTTAAAACTTTACGAAGTCCCTCTTTGGTTGCTTTTACGTGATGTTAAAACATATGGAAGTTTGATTTCTGAGACTTCTTGACTCTCTTCCCTTCCTCCACTTTTATCTAGACCTTCTCTTCACTTGGTCTTCATTGCCCTGCCCTTCATTTTTTGTTTTACCTTATATATATATATATACACACACACACACACACACACATATATACATATACACACACACACATATATATACACACACACATATATATAACACACACACATATATACACACACACTATATACACACACACATACATATACACACACATATATATACACACACACATATATATAACACACACACATATACACACACACACATATACACACACACATATATATACACATACACATATATATACACACACATATATATATACACACACACATATATACACACACATACACATATATACACACACACATATATATACACACACACATATATATACACACACATACACATATATATACACATACACATATATACACACACACATATATACACACATACACATATATATACACACACATACACATATATATACACACACACGTATATACACACACACATATATACACACACATACACATATATACACACACACATATATATGTGTATATATATATATTTTTGAGACAGGGCCTCACTCTGTTGCCCAGGCTGGACGGCAGCTGCACAATCTTAGCTCACCGCAGCCTCCTCCCCTCCAGTTCGAGTGATTCTCCTGCCTCAGCCTCCCAGGTAGCTGGGATTACAGGCATGAGCCACCACGCCTGGCTAATTTTTGTATTTTTAGTAGAGACAAGGTTTCACCATGTTGATTAGGCTGGTCTTGAACTGACCTCAACTGATCCATCCGCCTCAGCCTCACAAAGTGCTGAGATTAAAGGCATGAACCACTGTGTCCAGCCTACTCCCAATAATTTTTTTTCATTCATAGAAAGGAGCCTGGCTTATCAGAATCAAGGGTTCCCAGGAGTCAGAGACCCCAGTCCCTCAGTCCTTTTTGACTCATCAAATACTGGACGAGTAAACCCCACCTGTGTCAGTCACAGCTCTTGGCCTGGGCTGCTGTGCTTCTCTGTAACAACTCCTGCACGTCTGGGGTCCTGGACGCTTCCCCGTGGTGACTCCTGCACGTCTGGGGTCCTGGACGCTTCCCCGTGGAGACTCCTGCACGTCTGGGGTCGTGGACGCTTCCCCATGGCGACTCCTGCACGTCTGGGGTCCTGGACGCTTCCCCGTGGCGACTCCTGCACGTCTGGGGTCATGGACGCTTCCCCGTGGCGACTCCTGCACGTCTGGGGTCGTGGACGCTTCCCCATGGTGACTCCTGCACATCTGGGGTCGTGGACCCTTCCTGGTGCTCCGTGTGAGCCTCTGCTTCCTCCTACACAGACACCAGCATCATGCAGTCTGGAGGCTTTTGGTTTAACCTCATCCAAATATAGTTTAGGGTCTTTAGTCACTTGGTTTTATTAATGATGTTTTGGGTTTTGCTACTTAGTTGAGATTCAAAAATGCACTGTCTCTCCCAGCTTCCAAGAATCCTGCAGGTTTGAAAACTTTGAAAGATCATAGAATTTTTATTCTGCTTATCTTAAATCAAATACACTCACTATGAATAGCTTTAAAAGTTTCTTCACAGATTGGGAAAAACCCCTGTGCCAATGGGGCAAGTGGACTTCAGCCTCTACCCTATACCATGTCCCACAATGCACACAGGCAAGCGCAGCGTACCACAGCTCCAAGGTGATCTACATTAAGAGGAAGGGAAGAAGCCCATTGCCTTCCCTGAGCATCTAAAAAGTCTTTTGTGACATTGTGAGTTTTTGCCAAATCTGATTGTCAGAGGCCACCTGACCCCTTGTGCACCCTTATAGAGCCACAGTTTTATGCACAAGTGCTGACGGAGTCATCTCCTGCTGTTCCTCCTGCATCCCAGTTGGCTGTGAGGATTATCACGACTGGGCTGGGTGCAACCGTCTCATGCAATGGTTGTAGTTCCTGACTCAGGTGCTGAGTGCGTGTTTCTTGCCATCCATACATCGTGGTAACAGTGTTCATGCTGCCACCTGCCTCGTCAGCTCCTAAGGCAGGCATCGTTCCTGCATTCCAAGCACATGCCTCAAACTACCCAATTTGTGCTGCCTTGGACAGCTGGTACTGCCTCCTGTTTAGTCATTCTCGTTTGTTACTCGACACTTATCACTCACTGACACCGTCTTATTAGGAGAATGAGAATGAATCCAGGTTACAATTTCTGCTAAGACTTGGTGAGTTTTCCCTGACTTTGTAAATGGACTTCCTGCCAACATTCCACCGTTCGCTCAAAGAAATGTGGAAAGAAAATACAGTCATGAAAGTCCCAAAGTTGTGACTTTCCACAACAATGTCAGCCTTTGCCGTAAAGTACGGTAGAAACCTAGAGTCAGAAAGAACCTTGGAAAGCATCCACACTGTGTTTCAAGTCTCTTCTTCTGTAGATGAGAGGAAAAAACTACCAGGGAGGTAAAGCTCCTCTTCTAATTTTAGGCTAAAATAGGGCAGAGGCCAGACCTGTGGTCCGGTGTCCTGAACACGGGCAAGGAGCTATTTCTCAGGGTTGGCAGGCACACTTGACGCCTCCTCCTGCAAACCCCACAGCTTCGGTGGAATACTTTCAGGAGATACAGTAACCCTTTCAGGCCATGGAATTATCACATGAACAATGCAATGAAAAGAGGAATAGAGTCTATAAGTGACACATGAAGAACTAGTAGAACATTGAAAGTGAACTAGTGACAATGTAATATTTAAACTGAAGATTCTCATAGAAGAATAAAAAAGAATTAAGATTAGTACAGTAGCGGGGGGCTCACGCCGATCCAGCACTTGGGGCGGGCGGCGGCACAGGTCAGGGATCGAGACCGGTGAACCCCGTCTCTAAAATACAAAAATTGCGGGCGGGGGGCGCTGTGCCAGCACTCGGGGCGAGGGGAATGGCGTGACCGGGGCGCGCTGCGTGAGCCGAGATCGCGCCACTGCACTCCGCCGGGCGACAGAGCGAGACCCGTCTCAAAAAAAAAAAAAAAAAAAAAAAAAGATTAGTACAAGTAATAAAGTGATCCCACCCTCTAGAAGGAACAAGTAATACAGTCATCCCACCCTCTAGAAGGAACAATGTTAGAGAATAAGACTGGCCAATATGCAACTCCCAGAATTTTCTCAGGAATGTTTCAAAAATCTATTGTTATTGTGGATACTGAGAGAGCTCGTAGTCCCCCTCTATCTGAGGAAGATACCTTCCAAGACCCCCAGCAGATGCCTGAAACTACAGATGGTACCAAGCCCAATTGCCATCAATCAGAACGTGATTCTTTTCCTGTCCTCCCCTCCACCCCCAATGGCCTTTTTATCCGAACCAAGCACTTACTGTGCACTGTGGCTGTACCTTTTGCACTCTGAGGTGTGACAGCAAAACCTGGATGCATTTCTTTTTCCTTCCTCACAAGCTCGTGCATAGAAGATTCATTCTTACCATAGACATTAGGAACCTCAGCGCAGGATTTTCTCCTTAGTAAGTCAAGAACTTTCACCTGTTTACTTAAAGGAGTCACTTTGCAGCATCTCTTTCCTATTTCTGAATTACAGCACCACCACTCTGGCCCTCTGGGGCCATTATTAAGTAAAACGAGGGTTCCTTGAAAACAAGGGATCTGACGACCAAGAGGGCCACTAAGTGGCTAACAGGCAGGTAGTGTAGACAGGGCGGGTCTGCTGGACAGGCCGGTGGTGTAGACAGGGTGGGTCTGCTGGACAGGCCGGTGGTGTAGACAGGGCGGGTCTGCTGGACAGGCAGGTGGTGTGGACAGGGCGGGTCTGCTGGACAGGCCGGTGGTGTGGACAGGGCGGGTCTGCTGGAAAAGGGAGGAGTCACACCCCAGGTGGGGCTGAATGGGATGGCATGAGACTTCATCACGCTACTCAGAATGAAACACGATTTAAAACGTATGAATTGTTTATTTCTGGAATTTTTCATTGAATGTTTTTGGACTGTGATTGACGGAGAGTAACTGAAACCTCAGAAGGCAAAACAGCGGGTAAGAGTGACTTGCCGAACGTAACAAAGTTTGCTCCTAGAAACTTTGTGTGGTTGGTTGTCTGATCTGTGACTTCCTTTAATTCACTTCTCTGAGTTCCTTAAAGGTAGGAATCATGTTCGATTCATCTCATGGCCATATTTCCTCAAAAAGTAATTGGTGAACCGTGGAAAATCTAGATTGCTCAAGCCGCCTTCTGCCAACAGAAATAATGTTGCCTTTCAGCAATGGTTTGCTTTTCTGAAATTTTCAGTCATCCCACCCTTTAGAAGGAGCAACTTTAGAGAATAAGACTGGCCAATATGCAACTCCCAGAATTTTCTCAGGAATGTTTTAAAAATCTATTGCTATTCTGGATACTGGTGAACAGATGTGCGAGCGGCTCAGGCTCTGCCACTGGCCTTCTCCATGACTGGGTTTGTAGGGACAAAGCATGGTAGCGAACAACCTCAAAACCTCTGTAGCTCGAAAACGCAAAGCTTAATCACCTGTCCATGCTTCTGTTCCACTGCAGGCTGGGAGTAGCTCCCGTATCCTCAGGCCCAGGTGAAATAATTGTACCATCCTGAGCACTGCCAGGCTCGTGGCAGAGGGGGAGGGTGCAGGAACGTTGTGCGGCTTTTAAAGTTTCTGCCAGTAAGGGGCAGAGTCACTTCGGTTCCCGTTCCATTGGCTGGGCCTGACCACGGGATGAGTAGCAGAACCTTTCCAGCCAGGAGAAGCAGAGAGTATCTGGAGGAAGAATACAAACTGCCCCCAGCTCCCAGAGTTAATCCTGTGAATTCATCAACACGGTGATACGCTAGCCTCACTGGCTTCTTTTTGAATAGAATCATAGAATCTGGTTGTGCTGGGAGACTTGTAGGTCTTGCAGTCCAGGGACACAAAATTAGAAGCCAATGATGAGGTGCAAACCTGACAGAGGAGGCAAATGGAGTCCGGAGGGCGGGGGCTACGGGCTGAGTACACACGCCCCACTGGGGGGCAGCCGTCTCCACTGCAGCCAGCGTTACCCTAGAGAGATGAATGCAGGCACGATGTTGGCAGCTATTCCAATGTGAAAGAAACTAAAAATCCAGATTTTTGTGTAACAATATTCTAATCTTTACAACATTAATCAACTGGGGAAAAAAAGGGTCCACAGAACTTTTGCATCCTGTGAACCACCCATTTCTACCCAAATTTAGCCCAAACCTCTAACTGTGCACAAGCTCACACAAATATAGCAAAGCCAGAAAAGTATCCAGAACTCCAGACACTTCACTACTAACAGCCTCCAACCTGGGTAAGCGTCGGAACCGTTTATCTAAACGCCGAGGTGTCCTGCCTGGCCAGTGAAGCGCATGCTGCTCATGTGTGACCCACTTTTACCCCTAAAGGCATAATACATTGAATATTGTGATTTCAGTTAATAAGTTGAATTTACACCAGTCCTTCCTGATACAGCTGAATCAGGTCTTTCCCATTATTCACTCCTCAGTATATCACCCCTTCTGTTGAATAGAATTAAGTAAATATTTAAAATCTCTTACCCAGGGGTCAGCAGATTATGATGCAGAGGTCAAGCCCAGCCCATCTGCTTTTGTGTACAAAGTTCTCGTGGAACAGAGCTGTGAGCCTGCCGTGTGTGGTCTCTGGCTGCCCCAGACACAGCTGCAGAGCTGATTCCAGCACAGACATTGGGGCCCACAGAGGGAGGAGCCTTCCCTCCGTCATCCCCACGGAGCACCAGCCACCGCAGCCGCTAACACCTGCAGAACACACTCCATGTCCCTTGTTGGCTTTCTTCACATAAAGTGGATAAAACTGGGTCTGTACGGCCTAAAGCAGCCCATGCCAAGGTGCTCCTCAGGGACTGAGCCTTAGTCACAGTCCTTGTGACTACAGCACGTCCGTAGATGGGAGCTGGCTGAGGAATCCGTGTGTCTCCAACTTCTCAGAGTTGGGAGGAATCCATACTGGAAAAATGTCCCGTCAGTGCTCTTCCTTCTGAGAAAAAAGGTCGGGGAGCTAGGTCAACCTTGAGGGTTAATGTTGCTTGAATGTAAGCATAATAAATATTCAGCATGTCTCCTAAGACCTGGAGTCACATCAGAGACCAAGCTTGGAAAACCACAAGGAATGACGCCCAGCTTCCAGAGTCATTCCATGCTTTACAATCCCAGCCCACAACCAGTGAGTCCCAGGAAGCCCAGCGAGACTGCGGCAGGTCCTGACGCGCAGCATCAGCCTAAGTCTGAGCCCAGAAGAAGCTTCTGCTGCCACAATCACTGTGTGTGCTCATGGCTCGGGTGCAGGCCCAACAACAGCGGACCGAGGGCAGGCTGGGATTTGGCCTGGACTGGAGGGCTGGCTCAAGGGGGATGACTTGAAAGAGAATAGAAAGGAAAAGGGAAGAATGCAAGTGTCAGGTGGTTCCCAGCGCCAGGAAGGAACCACATACCACAGACAGAATTTCGCAGGTGCGACGGCTGTCCTCCAGCCACACCTGACTCCTAGCTGTGCTGCCCACTTCCTCCAGGGCCTCGAGGGTCCAGGATGCTGCTTCCTTAAAAGGAGTGATTTTCCTCCAGAAACCTGGTTCTCTCTCTCCAGGGTTCCAGCCATTCCTGAAGTTCAATTCCTTCAGGTTTGCGGAGGAAATTCCCGCAACAGCATGGCTTCTCGGGCATGCAGTAAGTCAGACACTTGGCTTGGCACACATCAAGCACTTAATAAAATCTATTGGAAAAGGAGGAATGCCTGGCTGACTCCAGATCACAGCTGCAAGGGGCTGGCAAACAAAGCTCTGGAGGGTCAGCACCTGCAGCTGGAAAACAGGGACTCAGGCATGGTGAGGCTCCATCCACCCCTCAGCTTCTCTGACGGTCTGACTCCCCCAGCCGTCCTTGCCCCCGAGCCTTGCACACAGAACATCCCTGGGAAGATCCAACCAGCTTCACCAACTTCCTTCCCCGTCTCAGCCCCATAGACACGTAACTGAGAGGGGGGCGTGAAGAGTGAGCCTCCAGCACGTGGGCACAGGAAGCGTGGACGCCGGAGGAGAGGAAACTGCGGTGTCACTGCTCGCCTGCCGTGGAGGCTGCACCCAGCGCGGCTCACGGGGTGTTCTTGGTATCACCGGCCTCCACATTTCGTTCTCTCCACACCAAATGCACGCGGTGGGACCATGAATCTGTGCACATTTTTACTGCCATCATGTAAGCCGCTCTGACCAGAACAATTTTTAATTTTTAGAACTATTTTCTAATCTTTTCATAAATTTGAGAGAAAGAAACATTTCAAGCAATTCTTGCTCTAAAATGATGGCTATAGCATTTATGCAGCACCGAGCCTCACAAAACACCCCGTTCACATTGTCTCACTTCACCATCCTAACGGCTTCTGAAACAGCCATCGCCAGACTTCACTGCATCCAAGACAGCATCTGTTGAAAAACACGGCAATATGTTATGTGTCACTGAGAAAGAAATAACACTGCTGTTTAAGCCACAATACATGGTGACTTGGAAATGATGAAAAGCAGCATTTCCCACACTTTTCAAAGGAGGAGAGGGAGGTGACAAGGTCATCCAGAGAGCAGTGGCAGAGCTAGGTTTTCACCTGAGCCTGCAGAGTCTAAATGATGCACAGTGCACTCTGCAGCTGGTCCCTGACTGCACATAGCAGGTGGACACAACAGCGTCTCGCTCATGCTCCTGGGATGCTGGACACGACCAGGACCCTGGGGCTAGAACCTGAATTCCCAGTGTGGGGAGAGGAAAGCCTCCCCTCCCAGCCCATCTCCCCACACGTTCTGCCAAAGCAATGCCCTTCCTTGCAGCGTTTCTGGAAGCCGACAGCAGCCACATACCTAGATGAGCAACAGGCTCCTCCCAGTAAGACTGGGAATCGTCTACTGTCTGAGACGGTGGAATCCACGTTTACAGTCGCCCAGGCAGCGTAAAGTGGAAGATGGTCTTCCCCGTTCTATGAAGGTCAGACTTCCTGGCTGGGGGGGCACTCCCTGGGCTGCGCTGTCCCTGGGCTCCACGTATGGGGTGCGTGATCCCCACCGTAGCTCGGAATGGCAGGAAGGAGAACCCCGGCAGGAACACACGTTGCAGGAACCCCACAGCCGAGGCTGGTTGCTGACTCTCGCGCGGGCACTCCGTGCGGGTGTCCTTGTTTCCTGGAGAAAGTGGGGCACCACGGCAGGTGTCCTGGTTGCAGAACAGCCCTCCCATGCTGGTCCTCTGGCATCTGCTGTGTGACTTCCTCCAGCTGATGGAACGTAAACAGAAACCAGCACATCAGCTCCAAGTGGAAGCTTCTGAGCCTGCGAGAAACCTGTGTGTCCAGTGTCCGAGCCCCTCACCTGGGTCCTGGGGGACACCACAGAGCAGAACCCCTGGGTCAAATTTTATGTACACGTGACAAGAACAAAAAAGAATGTTTTTTTCCTTCAAATCACTGAGATTTTCAAGCTGCTTGTCCGCATGGCGTAACCTGTCCTGACTGGACGCACACTCTGCTCACCTGTGCCGAGCGTCAATATCGATTTTTGGTGAAATTTTTCCACATCGGCAGGGCAAGCCCCTGCCTGTTTCCTCAAGTGGAGACAACGACAGCAAAGCAAACATTTTGGATCACACACAAATATTTACAAGTAAGATATGTTTAATGAGCATGATGCTTCATGCAATAATAGCAGTGGCAAAAACGGCCGACACCTACATTATTATTATGTTCCCAGTGCTATTCCCAGTGTTTCTCTGTCACTGTATTTGCTGGTTTGCTGAGAGCACTATGAGATTCAATGTTCCCCAGTGACTTTTCACATTGGCTAATTAATTCAGCAAAACACTTATTGGCGACTTCGTACGGCCTCGTTGTGGCAATAACTTAGTATGATTAAACTTAATCAAACGCCATGTCAGTAAATGACATGATGTCACTCCACCGATGACGTTCATAAACAAAATATTAGGGACCAGATGTTCCTTGAATTAACTTTCCAGGATGCTGCTGGTGATGTGTTCACAAGGTTACATAGTCCGGAAATTAATCGCACCTCGTGCTCCACAGTTTGGAGCAAACCATCCACCTGGGACCTCACCAGACTCTCCTGTCAGCAGCGGCTTCTGCCTGGAGGCTGCAGACGGGAGCACAGAGGCCCATCCGTCATTCCACCTCCATGCCCTAAAATCCAGCCCTGACTTCTTAATCCCAAGCCCAGTTCTCAGATTCAAGGCCCCATCTTCTCTCGTGTTGCCATTGCCATATTCTAGAATGTTATTTAGACCAACAACTTAGGAACAAAGATGCAGATGATGATACGACCCAAAGAGCAATCAATGCTGAGCAGGGGTGCGGGGTGCACGGAAGGCCCATCAGGAGCCTGGGCTGAGCAGATTTTCCGATGTGAGCACAAACTTCCATTCTGAGGTTCCTGTTAGCAAAAAATCCATTGAATAAGAGAACACTGAGGGCTGTACTGTCACAGCTAAGAAAACATGTTCATCTCTTTAGAGAGAGCTCCCTCACAGCCCTGACTGCTGCAGACCCCACTCCCCCCACTTCCGCATCTGTAAATCCTGCACACTCGGGTGGGCGCTGTCTCCAAACCTTCTCCATGGAGAAGGACGAGTCCTCCTCACTCCAGTGAGAGACCACCATGCCCGTGGCCAGGCACTGGGGCTGGCATGAGGCTGCTCTGAACACCGGGAACAGGGTCTTGACCAGTTCAAATTAGGTCAAGATTTTGCACTTCCCAAAGCAGGCCTTTGCTCTGTTTCTCCAGTCCCAGGGGCTTCCTGAAACGTGGGGGCCCTTCTGTCACCTGGGCTCCCACTTCTCTGAAACTCCCCCAGGTGTGACTCTCGCCTGGGAAAAGGACATCTTCTCCCACTACCTTTTAGCTTGTTACAACCGGAGAAACTCAATCGAAAGACTCTGGACTTGTACCTGCCCCCGAGAGGCCAGCAGGGAAGGCCCCTCCCTTGGCCCTGAACCTCTGCAGGGCCTCATCTCCTCCACAGCTCTCCCGCCTTTAGACCCGGCACTCCAGCTCCCAGAAGACTGAAACACGGGCATTCCCAATGTTGGCTCCTGCAGCCTCAGAATTTCTTCCTCAATGAGCAACGTAGGCACATTGAGAGCTGCCTTCACCTCGAATTTCAGATTTGCCCATTTTACTTCCTCCTCACTCTGCCCCAGCTCTGCTCTCCTGCCTCAGTTTCCCAGAGAGTGTGGAATCCTCTGAGAACACAGTCACCTTCCCAGCCTCTGGACACCATCACAGTCTCTTCTTCCTGACTCCCCACAGGGCTGCCTCTTCTGCCACTACTTTCTCAAAACATAGCCGGAGAAGGAGACAGGCAGCTTCAGACAGCGAGAAAGAGAGACAGACGTGAGCCGCAAACACCTCTCGATGCCCAACGTGGGACGCTGTTCTTTCCTCTTTCAAGTGGGAGCAGCTCACCACTGTCTCTCCTGCAGGTCTTCTGGGGTACCCTGGCCCTGCTCCCCAAGGAGCCTGCAGTGGGGAGGGAGAGAGTCCCAGAGAGGTAGAGACAGAGACAGGGACAGAGAGAAAGACAGAGACAGACAGGGACAGAGAGAGGGAGAGACAGAGACAGAGAGAGGGAGAGACAGGGACAGAGAGACAGAAAGAGAGGCACAGTGAGATAGAGGGGACAGCGAGCTTTGAACTCACACCACCCACTGGCACATATGGAAGGTCACAGGGACACTGCCAGCCTGAGGGGTGGCTGCATTTACCAACTAGAAGACGAATCTACTAGTGAATATGGAGGAAAGCATGAATGTTCAGGCTTGCACACACATTATGGCTCAGAAATTCCCACTCCTAGATATTTACCCTAGAAAATCTCTTGTGAGTGTTCACTGAGAGACAAGTGCAGACATGTCCCTATCAGCACTGGTTGAACGAAACACAGCAACATGGTGGGATCTTAGAAAGGTAAAAAGAAGAACAAAGCAAGCCACAGAGAACACAATAATAACGTCGTAATAGATCTCAGAAATGCTAAAATATGTATTGTACAGATATTGAAACTATTTTTTAAATGAAGGAATACTTTGTTTAATGCCGGAGAGTGGCCACATCTCCCAGGGAAGCAGGAACGCAGGGCCAGGAAGGAGCCGCAGCAGCTTCAGAGGTCTGGGAGATTTTGATAGATTGGGGGGGATCGGCCTCTCCACAGGGGTTCATTTCATCAGTAAATTTCAAAGCTTCCATATACTATTATGTATGTTCTATATTTACCACATTTTCTTAATAAAAAATAAAGATTATTTTCCCATCTTAATATCACCAATACTTTAAATTGAGGTAACATTCTCCCGAACCCAGTGCAGCTTTCCAGTCACTGAGTGAGGACAGAAGCAGCCTTCCCCAGCAGTCACGGAGGCCCCAGTGGGGGCGGGCAGGAGGGTACGTCCAGGTCCCTGAGAACCAAGTCGGTGCTCTTCTGATCAGAAGCCTGAGGGATCTTTGTGGTCTTCCAGTAGCTGCTACTGCACAGAAGCTATCCAAGGGCCACCCCAGGACTCACCAGCCTCCTGTGGGAGGCGTAGGTCTCCAGAAAATTTCCAAGGGCCACCCCAGGACTCACCAGCCTCCTGTGGCAGGCGTAGATCTCCAGAAAATTTAGACTTGGAGTCTGATCTTCATCAGCAACCAGACCACCGATGCTGGGACCCCACGTGGGACTGGGACTTTACACCCAGAAAGTCACTAAGTTCCAAGGAAATCGCCTGGTTTACTTTGCAAAATTGAACCTGGATCCATCCAAAGGTGGTTTATAGAGCACAGATTCCCTGGATTAATCCAGTTGGCCATGGCCACTTGAACCCCAATATCTCAGTGGCTGAGCAAAGCAAGGCCGTATCTGTTGCCCACACAGCACACGGATGACTACAGTCACCACACGCCTCCTTGTGCCAAGGCCCGGGCTCCAGGAGCAGCTCCCATCTGGAAGGCACCATTCTTGCGCAGAGCAAGCAAGAGTCAGCCACAAAATGGATTTTAATTGGTTTGCTTAGTTTTGGCACATGCTTGTCTGTGCATGTCAGTGTCTATGCACGTCACATGTGAGAGCAAGTCCATGGCCCGCTGACCATCACAGGGGCAGAACATGATGGTCCCCGAAAGGGACACATGGCAGGACGGGCCCTTCCCCGACGGAAGCCAAGTAGTTGGATTTAATAACACAACTATCGCATCCTCACACCCTAAATCTCTTCTCTTAGTGTTTGGACTAACTTAAAATTTTTCAAAAAATGTTTAATTAAAACAATTATTTGAGATAGGGTCTCACTGTGCTGTCCAGGCTGGTTTGGAACTCTTGAGTTGACACAGTTCTCCCACCTCCACTGGGACTGTGGGTGCATGACCCCCTGCCCCCATGCCCCCGTGCCCAGCTGATTTTAACTTTGATCATGCATGAGACCCACTGGTGCTGGGAACCTTCCGTAGAATGGACACCTGTGGGATTCCATGAACTACACACCTGGAAGCAGGGCTGTAACCACCTGGGCTCCAATCCCAGCACCAGCACTGGCCAATTGAGACTGATTTTCACAACGAAGACCAACTGTACTCAGGAACTGGGCAAAACAGGCAGTCATGATTGTACTAAGGGACCAGTGGGTTTCCTTACATGTGAACTTTCAGCTTTTCCACTCCCAGCTTTTCCTGTCTTTGTCTACAGAGCTCCTGGGGCTTTTGCTGGCACTGACCTCCCTTTAGACTGTACTGTCTTCATTTACTGCTCCCAAGGAGATATTCAGACACACAGTTGGCTGCCCTCTGAAAGACCTTTTTAAACCTTTCTCCCCTACACTGCAGCCCTGGGAGGTTTTGTCAGGATGTTCAGCTAATTGGCAGGTTCTGCTTCCGCGGGGAAGATGCACCATTTAAGAGGATTAAACGAGGTTTGTTTAAGTCTCTCGTATATACAGCTCAAATAAGCTGTTGTGTTTGCTTTAGACTTCACAAGATCCTTCTTGAATGTTTAAACAGATAGTCCAACAGGTAGTTTCAGCTGCCAGCTGCTTCCTGCATTTAAATCCCAGCCTCATGGAGTTTATTTATAGAGGATGTTTTCTGAACCAATGAAGCACATCCCTGAACGTACAAGAGAAAAGTGATGCTTGCTGTTGGTCTGCAGCTTTGTGCAGCCAATGTCCTCTACATGAGCTGTGCCACAGGACATGTTTCCCGGCAAACACCACACCCTGCAACATGGCAGGATTCGTGCTAATGGAAAAAACACCAGATGCTGGAAAGAGATAAAGGAGAGCGTAGTGCAACACTATGTAGAAGAAAGGCCATAGATGAGAAAATACAAACCAGTCTTATCACCCACGAAGACACTGGATCCCCGGACACAGGGCTGGAAAAGCCTCCTTGGGGTCATGTGGAAGATCCTCAACTCCGGGCCTGGCGTCCAGGAGAGAAAAGAGGTGAGAGAAAGGTCCTTGGAGACCAGCCCAGCAACGAGGGCACAAAGGAATGGCCCCACAGCGATACGTGACACACGCACATCGCCGACACACAACACATGCATGCGTATTACATGTATGACACATGTATGTGACATGCACACGTCACACCTGGATGCCTGTGGTACATGCATTATGTGACACACACAAGTGTGGGACACATGTAAAATGTAGCCTACATTATACTGTAATATATGACAAACAGAAACAAAGTGTCTGAAATAAATCAAATGTTTGATCTTTCCACACAGTGGACGCGGAGTCCCAATAAGCCTGCATTGAGTCCCTCCTGCCGCTAAGCGGCGCTGGAGCCGTCAGTGAGGCGGTGGGTCCGCGCCCAGGACTGTCCTTAGCGCAGAAGGGGCGGAGCGGCTCTGCGGTCCCTCAGCGCCGAGATTCCGCGTGTGACCCACGGGACTGTGTCCCTCAGCGCCGAGATTCCGCGTGTGACCCACGGGACTGTGTCCCTCAGCGCCGAGATTCCGCGTGTGACCCACGGGACTGTGTCCCTCAGCGCCGAGATTCCGCGTGTGACCCACGGGACTGTGTCCCTCAGCGCCGAGATTCCGCGTGTGACCCACGGGACTGTGTCCCTCAGCGCCGAGATTCCGCGTGTGACCCACGGGACTGTGTCCCTCAGCGCCGAGATTCCGCGTGTGACCCACGGGACTGTGTCCCTCAGCGCCGAGATTCCGCGTGTGACCCACGGGACTGTGTCCCTCAGCACCGAGATTCCGCGTGTGACCCACGGGACTGCAGTCCCTCAGCACCGAGATTCTGCGTGTGACCCACGGGACTGTGTCCCTCAGCACCGAGATGCGGGTGTGACCCACAGGACTGTGTCCCTCAGCACCGAGATTCCGCATGTGACCCACGGGACTGCGGTCCCTCAGCACCGAGATGCGGGTGTGACCCACAGGACTGTGTGCAGGGCAGGGTGAGCGGCTCCGAAGGACGTGCTGATTTGTTTTGTGCGACCACCAGAGCAGGAGCCAGAGAAAAGGCAAGTAGGCAAGGTAAAAAGAAACTTTATTAGCTAGCCAATGTGAAAGAAGAAAGGGCGAAGTTCACCGGTCTCCGGCGGTGGAGGCCGAGGAAGTCGCTCTGGCGTTCTCGGGCGAAGTTCCTGGGTCCACATATGAGGAGAGGCCGACGAAGTTCCCGCCGCGTGTCTGCCCGGAGCGGCTTTATGTCTTGGGCCTGGGAGTGGGAGGGCAGTAGGCTGGACATGGGCGGGTCGGGGCCGTGTGGTAGGCCCGGCCAGGTACGTTTCGGTTTCCTGGGTCGGAAGTCAGGTTGCGCCTGCGCAGTTGACCTGTGTCTGTCCCTGGGCGCGGGAAAGTTGGTTATGAAGAACCCGGAAGTACGCCATCTTAGTCCCTTTTGTTCTTTGTTTCCCTCCTCCCTCTGTCCAGACACGTGCCACCTGGTTGTGAAGCAGCCTGAGGTGCCCCAGGGGCAGGAGACCCTCTCTGGCCCCCAGGCTGCCTCCCTGGTGCTGGCCTCGGAGAGGACGTTCTCCCACCCGTCCCTGCAGCAGCCGTCACTTCAGACCTGGCCTTGAACCTCTGCCCAGGGTCCAGGTGCCTCAGACCCTTCGTTCGTGGGCGTAAGTGCAGGCCTTACTCCTTTTCCTGCACCCAGGCTTGGTCCCCGCCCAGTCTCTGGCCTGAGGACACTAACACATGGGCGCCGTCTACATGGAGGCCAGAAAGTGGAAGTCAAACACATGTGCCTGCTAATTATTTAAATTTATTTCTTATTCTTCCTATTTATTTAATCAGAGAGAGGATCTCACTCTGTCGCCCAGGCCGGAGTGCATTGGCGATGGTGGCTCACTGCATCCTTGGCCTCCCAGGCTCAAGTAATTCTCCCACCTCAGCCTCCTAAGTAGCTGGGACCACAAACATGCACCACCACACCTGGCTATTTTTTAAATTTTGTAGAGATGGGGTCTCATCGTGTTGCCAAGGCTGGTCTCAAACCTCTGGGCTCAAGCAATCCTCCCACCTAGACCTCCCAAAGTTCTGGGATTGCAAGAATCAGCAACTGTGCCTGACCACATTTTCTTTGTTAGCAGTCACACTGAAAAAGAAGAGGCAGAAAGAAGATGTTCAGCTGTAATTCCTAGGAAAAAAAAAATACGTTTGGGCCAGGCACAGTGGCTCACGCCTGTAATCCCAGCACTTGGGGAGGCTGAGGTGAGCGGATCAAGAGGTCAGGAGATTGAGACCATCCTGGCTAATATGGTGAAACCCCGTCTCTACTAAAAATACAAAAAATTAGCCAGGTGTGGTGGTGGGCACCTGTAGTCCTGGCTACTTGGGAGGCTGAGGCAGGGGAATCGCTTGAACCCGGGAGACGGAGGTTGCAGTGAGCCGAGATTGTACTACTGCATTCCAGCCTGGGCGACAGAGTGAGACTTCATCTCAGAAAAAAAAAAAAAAAAAAAAAGAGAAAGGAAAAAAAAGAAAAAATATGTTTGCTTTCATTATGATCTTCTTGAACAAAGATGAACTGGAAAAAAAAGAAAAGGAAAAGTCACCCGAAGTAAATTAGAAGAACAAAACAACTGAGGAGGCTGGGAGAAAAAGCCGTGTTTGGAAAACACAGGAAACTGTGAGGCTTTTCTGCTGCATCTGTGTGATCCTACCCAAGCTCTGGTGTGGGAAGCGCCCATGCGGAGGCCCTTTTAAGTGGCTGAGTTTGGAGACATTGGAAGACCCAGATGTACAGAACATGCCTGAACATAAACACAGTTTCTTGCACTTGAAACAAAACACTGAAAATGAAACTTAGCAGAAAACCAAACGTATCAACGTCCTTTGAGAACGAATAAGCACAGGGGCGTGGAGGAGAGCCGGGCCAGCCTCAGACTTAGCCTCCCTGGAGCCTGAGACGTCCACTTCTGTGTGGTCCCAAGGGAAGGGGTGTGGTCCTCTTCTAGCCAGCCACGTTTTCGTTTAAGTAAAAAGGCAACTGATAATCTTTCTCAAGCCATCAAAAACCCAATGAAAATCCATCCAAAGAACGACAAAAGTCAACCAAAGAAATAGGCCAAGAACAAGGATGGCAAAGTTAAAATTCACTTCAACAGGCCGGGCACAGTGGCTTACGACTGTAATCCCAGCACTTTGGGAGGCCGAGGCAGGCAGATCACCTGAGGTCGGGAGTTCGAGACCAGCCTGACCAACATGGAGAAACCCCGTCTCTACTAAAAATACAAAATTAGCCAGGCATGGTGGCCTATGCCTGTAATCCCAGCTACTTCGGAGGCTGAGGCAGGAGAATCGCTTGAACCCGGAAGGCAGAGGTTGTAGAGAGCCGAGATCACGCCACAGCACTCCAGCCTGGGCAACAAGAGCAAAACTCTGTCTCAAAAAAAAAAAAAAATTCACTTTGTCAGAGAAACTAAGACTCAATCAGTGTGAGCATTATAAATAAAGAGAATGTAAATGTTGTGAAGTTGAAACATTAAGTTGGAGTTTACTGAAGAGAAAGCTTTTTCAGGGCCTATACCTCTCCTGCCTTTACAGATTTTCTTTTCCTCGAGCTACCAAAAGATGCCTTTGTCCTTGAGGTCTGGTTACAAATCAAGGTATTTTACGATATTCATCTTTATCACTTTTTTTCTTGGAACAGAAGATAAACAGGTACAAATGTTTCATTTTTTTTTAAGATGCTTAGTGTTCTCAGATCTTTGATTTTTTTCATTTCTTCAGTCTTCTTTAAGAGCACCAACTGTGCACATGCTATTTCCTGTCATCTCTAAAGCTACCGTCTTCTCGGAGGTCACTGCAGTCGCATTGCTGTTTTTCGTGTCACCCTGTGTGACTTCCTCAGATCTATTCCACACATCAAGGGCTGTTTCCTGTCAATTCTACTTCTTCGGGCTTCTTTGTCAGCTTACATCTGTTTACATCTGGAAGGTTTTCCTCTCGCGTTTATTTCCTGATTCTTTCCTCACTCCACAACCTCCCCCGGCCCTTACACCCTTCAGTTCTTTTCCCCAGAAGGGTTTAACTGGACTCTTATTTTTGAGCTATTTTGTTGTTTCTTTGGATGATTTCTTCCTTCTTTGCCCTTTTCAGTTTTGCTTTTTTTTTTTTTTTTTTTTTTTAAGATCCCAAAGTGCTAGGATTACAGCCTGTCACCAGGCTGGAGCGTAGTGGTAAGATCTCGGCTCACTGCAACCTCCGCCTCCCGGGTTCAAGCAATTCTTCTGCCTCTGCCTCTGCCTCTTGAGTAGCTGGGGCTACAGGCATGTACCACCACGTCCGGCTAATTTTTTGTATTTTTAGTAGAGACAGGGTTTCAGCATGTTAGCCAGGATGGTCTCAATCTCCTGACCTTATGATCCGCCGGTCTCAGCCTCCCAGAGTGCTGGAATTACAGGCATGAGCCACCGCGCCCAGCCTTGAAACATTTTAAAGACAAAAAAAGAACAAATAATTTTATAAAACAGTCATATTCCCACAACCAGAATTAACAAAATATTTTGTCACATTGTTTTCTAGTCCTTTGAAAAGGACTCCGGCGAGGTAGAGGGATCCTTAAAATAATATAGGTGCAGCCTCTCCCACCCGGGCGGCCAGTTTGAGGTGTTTGGTTTGCATTTTTATATTATTGTCTTTTAAGTTTCACATATCTATATATTTGCATTTATCCATTACATAAGCCTGTCTTTTGAGCATGTTACTGACATAAAGGGCACTGCATGGCATTGATGACTCCACTCCTTCCTCTTCTCACGGTGCTAGTTATCACAAAACCCATTTGGTCTATTTCATTCACTAGTTTTTGGCTGTTCACACCTAGGCTTTATCTAGGCTATTTATCTAAAGTAGCCTTTTGAGGGTGGAATGAGGCAGGGACCCTGTTCCGCAGATGGAAGCCCAGTCCCCGGGCTGTGTGCTGGGTGTCTTGTTCCCCAACTTGGGAAGCTGCCTCCTGGAGTCACCGACTCCCATGCGAGACTCTGCCTCTGAGCTCTGCACTTTTCTGCTGACCTGTTAATGCCACACTGTTTTCATTACCATACCTTTGTATATATTTGCTTTCTCTTCCAATTTGGCTTTTTTTTTCCCAAAAAAATGTTTTAACTGTTTTTTCTCCTCAAACCTTTTAAATGTTATATTATTTTTAAAAATGTTAAAAACAAAAGTAGATGAGATAGGAGAGTCAGCTCCTATGTGTCTGTCCTCAGCATCAAAAAATCACCGAATCAGGCCCAATTTCATTGCCTCTGCTCCCCCACCAGCCTCTCCTCCTCCCCCAGACTCTTTTAAAGCCAATTACATTACTACACCATGTCATCTGGGAGCATTTCTGAAGGTATTTATTCACGTATATTCTTCTATATGTGCTCTAGAATCAGTTTGTTAAAGTCCCCATATATTTTCATGAATCTTGATGGAATGTTCACTGAATGCTAAGATGTTGGAGAATTTACTGTTATCCAAAGTCTAATATTCCCGTCTGAAACACTGGTGCTTCTCCTCCTCAAATTCTTCCTTTGTGCCTTTCAATAACATGTTTATAGTTCTCTAAAGGAAGGTCTTGCACATATTTTTGGATTTTGCTGCAACCCTGACTGTCATAGATTTTACTGTAGCCATGAGTGGCCCACGTTTGGGGTTCTATTCCCCGTCTGGTGACTGCAGAGTAAATAAATGCTAAGAAATCCCGGTATGGCTCTTGTTCTCTGCAATCCTGCCGAACTCTTGTGTTGATGTCAGTAATTTAATCATAGATTCTCTTGAATTCTATCTGTATAGAATCATAGCATCTGCAAGAAAATCAATATTTTGCTTTACTTTTTTATTGTTATAGTTTTGGGGGTTTTTTGTACTTTTAAATTGTATGGCAATGGCTTGGAATTTCAATGTGTTGCTGAATAAGAGCAGTGATAATTGGCAGCACTTTTGTGTTCCTGATATTTATGGGCAGTGTATGCTTTCCATCTGCCTACTGTCTTTTTCCTGCCGACGTGTTTGATTTTTCCTGGTGTCTCTGTGTAGCCCTGTGCCATTCCTGGCTGGTGTCGTTCCTCTGGGGAAGAAGGCAGCTCTGCTGAACCAGCTACATCCCTTGGCCCGGCAGGAGGCAGGACGAGGGAGTGAGCTGCGCAAAGAACACATCCACCTGGGCTTGCTCCTCCGAACACCTTCAACACTCTCAGCCTCCTCTCCCACTCCGTTCTCCTCTTCTGAGCTTTCCCGAATCACCAGTGCGTGGAGGCGGCCTCTCGTTCCTGTCCACCTCATCACAGGCCGACACCCTAATCACAGACAACGGAAACGGCTCCTGGACTCAGGTGCGTTCTCACCTCCAACCTCTCCATTCCTCCTTCCCAGTGGCCCCCAGCCGTGGTGCCGTCTGCAGCCAACACTGGGGCAGAACCTGGCTTTGGGGCAACGAGTACTCCACGGAGTAGGTCAATTGGGGTGGGACATTCAGGCAGAGTGACACGCGGGTTTGCCCCAAACTTCACCTCTGGTGGGGGGTTCCTAGGTGTCCCACAAAGGCTGGGCCTGGCAGGGATCAGAGGGCAGGACTCTGCCCTGGCTGGGCCTGTTTCTGTCTACCTGCTCTTTCCCTCCCCTGCCCTGCTCATTGCCAAGTGTGTGGACATGAGATGCAGCAGGGACAGAGAGCTTGGACGTGGGGGGGCCTGTGACCCTGGGGACTTAGGGAGCCTGCTTGGGTCACACCGTACCTCCTCTCTGCCCTGTGCCTGGTACTGAGCTGATAATGTGGGTTCTATTTTCCATCTGTCTGCATCATTTATGTTGAGAAGCTCCCAGTCGTCTGATTTGCCATGTTATCACCTCAGGACAGTTAAACAATTAACGGTTTAGCAGCAGGAAGGTAACTGCCACATACACAGTAAGTGTCCTGGTTAGAAAACAAGCAATCAGAGAAAATACACTTTGAAAAGAATTAGTGGGCAGCTGAGTTTCCTATCTTTCACCTGGTAGATTAATGGCTGTATGTCGACACAGCGACAGGCTAACATTTTCAAGTAGAAAGACATATGATTAAATCTCTCTTTTGATGTTTTCTGCAAATTGCTTCTCTAAGCTCTGCTTCCAAAGGGCAGCTCTCCAATTAGAGTCAGAGATTATTATTACGGGGTTAGCAATCACTCCTGCTCCCGTAGCTGACTCATTCTTTAACGTGCTAATTAGCAAATATATCCAGTGCCTTGTATCATATTTGACCTTCAGCGTTGTGTTCTTTTCGAACTGGAATCATTTCATGCCATTCCAATGAAATGGAGACATTGCTCTGAGGTTTCTGACCCCTCCCTCCAAAGGGCCCCGTGATCGGCTGCGAAGCCCAGGAAGATCAGCCACGTACACACCCCTCTCTGGATCATTATTTTCCAGAGATTGATGACTTAATAAGTTCACTTTCATTCAGCAAGTTTACCATCTCTCTTCTTAAAGCGATAGTTTGTTTGTTTGTGACGATTTGGAATTGTTAGTGAAGTGGACCTCACACTGGGGTCTGGAATTCTAAATTGCTACCTAACGGTCACTGTGAAGAGAGGGTGCTGTACCGACCGCGTCTGCACCCCACGGGGTCCAGAGAGGACCAGCTCATGGAGTTGGTCACGAATTCCCCTTCTCCTTTCTCCCCTCACTTCACGTAGGTACATTCTTTCTAAAAAGATTAAATGGCGTCATATAAAATTGATATACCCGCTTCTCGCTCTTTCAGATTCCAGAGGCTCCAAGGCCCTCGGTCCTGGCCAGGCCCCTCCATGGTCACAGCAGTGATGGCCTCGTCCTTCCCACATGAGGGCCCCAAGGGTAACCCTGGATAACTCAGCATGATCTCCCACCCAAGGGCCCTGCCTGGAGCCTGAGTCCACCTCAGCTGCGTGTCCTTTCCCCCAAGCCCAACACACTCAGTCTCTGGGGATCAGGGTCTGTGCGTCTCTGGGTGACTGCTCCACCTGCCCCAGCAGGGCGCCGCGGGTGCATGGGTCCTGTGCCGGCATCTGCCTGGCTGTCACCACGGGCATCTGCCTGAAGGCAGCAGTTCTCCGCCTTCCCGCCTGCTGTGAACCTGGTTTCTGCTCCCTGGTTTCTGCCTGGCTCCCACGGAAAAGATCGCCACATTCTCTGCTTCTCTCCACTGTCTGCCCTCCTCCGACAGGCACGGCCATTTCTGTCGAGTGCCTCTGAACCTCAGAGTTCATGCAACGCTTGAGGTGAACAGAAAGCCCAGGTCTCCATTCAGGGCGGGTTCGCAGACTCTCATAGCCCCCACACTTGTCGCTCTCAGCAGCTATCTCAGAACCTGTTATTAACCAAGTGATGCGATTGGTCTCTCTTCTCATTAGACCATGACCTCTATGGGGACGCGAACCTGTTTATTCCCACACTGAGGCTTCAACCCAGGGCCTACACTTAGGAAATACCTGACATTTGTTGAGTTTGTGAACAGATGAGCACATCCTCCATTAAATGAAGCTGAGTGAAGTGAAGGCTGAGAGGAGATGGTGACAGCAGGAGATGCAGCTGTGGGGGCAGATTCTCCCTCTCAGTGACGTTGTCACCAATGCAGCAGCTGATCGGCAGCTGACTGTGTTGGGGTCAATTGGGCAGCTTCAGTCTGTCCCTCTGCAGAGATGGCTCATGGTGCAGATATGCAGCGAGCAGGCCTGGGTCTCCTGCAGGCCAGTCCTCACCCACCTGTGTCTCAGTTTCCTCTTTTATAAAACAGTGACAAGGCAGTCCTCCCCTCATAGCAACGCGGGGGTGGCTGAGGGAGCTGTGAGCCCTTGTCCCTGGACTTAGGACAGGGTCTGGTGCCCTTTGAGACTGGGCCACCCTTTAAGCTCCAGCACTCCAGTGACTCCAGCAGCATCAGCTGTGCTCCGCTCCCACGAAGATGCTCTAGAATGTAGACACACCATTGCTTTTGTGGAACCAAGAGAGGAAAAACACTTCCAATTAAACTATGACAAGCCATGTAACTAAGATACATTCTGATTCCTGAAATGTGAGGCTGTGATCACCATGTGTGCCCCAGCATCTAGAAGACGCCAGGGTCCCAAGGGAAGACACTGAGGACCATGATGGGGTGGTGCCCAGTGGGGCGCGATGGCTGAGCAGGCTGGTGGGGGCCAGCTGCCAAGCCGGGTGGGCTAGAGCCCGGGTCCCATATCACCTCCCGGCCCAGGAGCTGGCAGAATGCACCTGCACGTGGTATTTGCTGTGGCTCCTGACTCTGCCAGCATGAAACACATTTATCTCAAAATTTCTTGCGAACACAAACTTGATATTTTTGTTCTTAGAATATTTACTGGGAAAGGGCATAAGGACAAAAAGGCACTTTGTTTAGTAACATTTTACTGAATTCGTATTTAATTCATCACAAAAGCATCTAAGCACCTTGGTGGACCCAAAACCACACCTGGAGACATGTCAGTCTCAGACCACAGTTGCTAGAAGGGCGCTTGTGACATCTCAACATGTTCCCAGGGGTCCCAAGACCTCAGCCTGGGACTCTGCACCCCAAAATGAGGTTTACAGCCCTTAGTCGGGTCTGCACGTTCTTAGCTTCTAGAGCAGCCTCCAAGATGGGAGCTCATTTACACCTGTACACCCTTGAGCACCCCAACTCTGAGCCTCCCCAGCAGCCAGGTGTTGTCCTGCTGTGCAGAAGCACTTGACTGTTTTTAACTGGTGTCGACACACTTCCTGTCATTTACCCTCATTGTGCGTGTAAACTGTGCCTACGCGATTCAGGTCGATGCTGTTGTGGGGCTTGTTAAGAACCCTGCTGCAAGGTGGGTTGCTGCCCCGGAGGCATCTTCTTCAAAGCCTGGATTTCTATTAGTTCGTTTTCAGGGGTGGAATGGCTGCATGCATTTCCCACCTGTGCACCCTGCCCATGGTAGACCAGAAGGAAGATTAGTAGGAAGGAGTTTGCAGCAAAAGAAATGTTTTTCCTAATCTCTAAGCAGGCTATACAGACTGTCCTAGCCTTATCTCACAGCCAGTAGTGAATTAAAACCCAGAAAGCTGCTTCTGCAGGAGGGATGAGCACTGCTAAGAAGCTGCTGATAATGTCCTTCGGGTGATCCTCTTGTTTTTTTAAAACATAGACTTTTGTCTCCATTGGATTATTTCCCTTCTCTGAGGGCCCCTGCAGTGGCTCATGCTCAGATCAGCATGAGCCCAGATGCTCTGGGGTCCAGCACAATGACCACACCCAGCCCCTCGGTTACAGCACAATGACCACACCCAGCCCCTGGGTTACAGCACAATGACCACACCCAGCCTCTCGGTTACCTGAGGTGAGCACGGGTGAAGGGGAATGAGGAAGGCCCTGCTGCAGGGCGGGCAGCGCGGAGGGAGGGGCTCGAATGGGCCGGGGGGTCTGCTTTCTCGGGGAGGGGCCATGGGTGCAGGCGACAGACACACCTGAGCACTTGGGGAATCATCTTCCTGACTTCTCGGCTCTGGGCTCCAGGGTCCAGTCCGGCTCCCACCCACACAGAAGGAAAAGGATGAACAAACTGAAAATCAACAACTCTTCTTCACCCATCAGAGAACTGAGTCACCAGGCAAAGCACGGACCCCGAATCAGGAGGCACAGACAAGCGGGTTCCGAGGACCTCGGCTGACAGGAGCAGAACCTCTGCGGGGCCAGCGCCAGGGACCTGAGCTGCCCCTGATGAATTTCTGGAGATGCCACCTGGACAAATGAGAGAGAAAAAATCCAGGGGGACCCAGTCATGGGGGACCTGCACTTGGTGAATTTTACCTCTGAGAGCTCGACCAGGTTCCCACAGTAAAGAGAGGAAGAATCGGCTGGGTGCAGTGGCTGCGCCTGTAATCCCAGCACTTTGAGAGGCCGAGGCAGGCCAATTGCCTGAGCTCAGGAGTTCGAGTCCACCCTGGGCAACGTGGTGAAACCTCGTCTCTACTAAAATAGAAAAAATTAGCCAGGCACGGTGGCAGGCGCCTATAGTCCCAGCTACTCGGGAGGCTGAGGCAGGAGAATCGCTTGAACCCAAAGGCCGAGGCTGCAGTGAGCCAAGATCGTGCCACTGCACTCCAGCCCGGGTGACAGAGGGAGACCCTGTCTCAAAAAAAAAAAAAAAAAAAAAAAAGGGAGAGTGGAAAAATCCCCTCCTACTTACAGCCAGAGGAAAGGGACTATTTTGAAATACACCCTGTTCTCGTGAGGGCTGCTTCAGGGGGAATTATTTCACCAGAGTCTAACAGACCCGAGGTTTTCATCAGTCTAACTTACCTGGGGAAAAGCAAACCCCAACTCCAGCCCCCTCTGGCCTTCCTGTCCCACCCAAGGGGGAAGGGGAGATATAAACTCAGCAGCACTTTGTGAGGTCATGGCACAGGGCACAGGCTCTGGAAACTGGTCCTAAATCACAGGGCCGTGCGCACACCTTCCAACCACCACAGTTCCCTTTCTACAGGCCCCTCTGCAATAACGGGTGTTTCCCAGGAAGAATGCTCACTTCAGGCCTGACTCTCGGAGAACTGCCTTTCTGATGTTAAGGTGTCAGAGGGCTCGCTTCCAAACCCTGGGTTAAATCACTTAGTGGCACATTTAGCCATCACCCTGTGAGAGTTCAGAAAGAACGAACGTTCACATGCAAAGAAACAGTAAACAGGCCAGCACCGTGGCTCACGCCTGTAATCCCAGCACTTTGGGAGGCTGAGGCAGGCCGATTGCTTGAGCCTAGGAGTTCGAGACCCGCCTGGGCAATGTGGCAAGACCCCTCCTACACAAAAACTAGACAAATTAGCTGGGCGTGATGCTGCATGCCTGTAGTCCCGACTGCTTGGGAGGCTGAGGCAGAAGAATCACTGAGCCTGGGAGGTGAAAGTTGTAAGCCGAGATTGCCCCGATCCACTCCAATGTGGGCTGCAGGAGTGAAACCCTGTTTTAAAAAAAAATGGAAAAAAGAAGAAACAGTAAGCAAGTTTGCTTCTCTACTCCTCCTCAAGGAGAAGCAGCCCTTGTCCCGTAATATTCATAAACCTGCTGTTGAGGGTTTTCAGGGAGTCTTCCCTTTCTCTCCTGTGTATGTGTAACAGCCTCTCCTGTGCCCTGCTGACGTCTCCCTGGCATTGTTTCTGCTCCAAGTGCCAACTTGGGGTTCAGGTCTCACTGTTACCAGCCTGGTGTCTGCACCATCCCTTGTGGTTTTCTTAAACTCTCCTCACAATTTTGTCCACAGTCCTTTTATTAAATCCTCCTTAAACGATCCTAAGTTGAATGTTTCTTTGTTTTTTCTCTAGTGGGACTCTGACTGACACCCCTGAGAAGGCAGAGGAGGATCAACAATGTAACATAGACCCTCTTTCTATCCCCTTTGGCAAATACACACGTCACGTGGTTGCTGTTGTCTGTCTTAATTTGGATGGTGTAAGTACTTGCCACTTCACTCATCTCTCCCTCACCTTCCTCTTGAGAGAAAGGCAGAGAAATGTCGACACCACAGCAAACCACAATGAGTACCCAAGCGCCTACAGGACCACGGGGAATTCTGGGCACCACTCTGCCAAGAATCCTTCCTACCCCCTATTTTCTCAACCAAAATGCTGTCTAATATACTTTCCTCACTTCCCTGTACCCACATGAAAAGTGCTTGGAAACTGACATTGGGTCAAGCATACAGAAATAGTCAGTATTTAGTTTTACCTCGGAAATTGTGGTCGTTCTGTTATTTATAGCATCTGTGGAAAATGCTCATTTGCTCTTGGAATCCAACATTCTTCATAGGATGTCAAGCAATGTTTTCCAGGCACACAGAGTTTATATAGTAGAGCCACGAGCGTTTCATCTGTCCTTCTTGCTGGCACCCACATGGGCCACACCGCACCTGGCCGCTCAGCACAGGAAAAGCAAAGTGTGAACTGAATATTGGCATCCAGCTGGGCCTCGTCCGGAGGTTGGCAGACATCCGAGTATGTCACGCTTTGCTCCTCCTGTGCTGCATTTGTTCCACGAATGTTGATGGCACAACGACCACACCCAGACCCTCTGTTACGTCCCCTGTGGGAGGTCAAATAAATGAAAATGACTTGGTGCTGTCTTCAGAGAGGCTGCAGTTCAGCCCAGCCACGTGAGGTCACCATGAAGACCACCTTTTACCCAGAGCTCCTCAGGACTAGTGTGGAGATTTGGGGAGCCTGAGTCTGCCCAGATTCTCTGATTTGAATAGAGCAATAACACTTCCATTTGCTTTACATGTTAAGTGAAAGCCCAATCAGTCACTGGAACAAAGAGTTTAAGGGTTTAAAAGTCAGGTAGGAACGCACTGATCTGTAGCAGGGTTCCAAGCCTGTCTACCCAGGATCAGCTGGAAAGATGTTTGATAATGGACGGTGCAGTTTTACCACCATTAAAATGAGCGACACCTGGTGGAGGAATGTTCCAGAGCTTTAGCAAGCTCTGCAGGCGAGCCTGGGTACACAGCCTGGCAGACTTGGGAGCCATGTGTCTAGACCCGGGTTGAAGGTGGTGCTGGGCATTAGGGCGACAAGCTGCTTGTTTATGCCCAGACTCCATCCCAGAAAATCTGTGTGGGCATGACAGGGCTTGAGCATCCATATTTGAAATAAACAGTGCAGTATTGCAGGTGACTCTAGTGCAAGCAGCCTGGGGACCACAGGTGGAGAAGCATGGTGCAGAGGACCCCGAAATACAGGAGCACAGCACCAGCACACGTGCCATGGCTGGGGTTCTGCAGATGATGGCTTCAGCTCCACAGATGGTGGTTTCCCTTATAACCATTTGAGGCTTCACTTAAAAAGAACAGTGGATATTTCTGAGTGGTGGAATGATGAGTGGTTTGTAAATGTGTCTTCCTTATGTTTGTCTGAACTTTCTGGTTTTTTTTTCTATCTTTATCCATTTATTGATGCAATAAATATTAAGCATATAGTATATGCCACCTACTATATTGTTTCAGCAAAAGTGATAGTGATTAATAATGTAACAATATACTAATTAATATAGAAGCACAACTAAGAAATCTGTCTGCTTTCTAAGCAATAATTTTGGAGAGGCATTTTTATCCTCCATAGTTTGGTTCTTGGCCTCCTCATTCATAGAAATCATATTATATACACTACCCAGGGCCTTGTCAAAGCCTATTTAATCAATAGCAAGCTGACGTATTTTATTTGCTCCCTCTGAGTTGACTCATCTGTTTTACAAACGTGCGGGGTGAGGCTTCCTCTTCTTCTTCAGGTTCCTTTCCCTTATCTTTTTATTTTCTGCAGCCTCTTATTGTTCATAACCACACTTCTCTTATTTGTCATCTTCCCCGCTTTGAATCTCTAGTTAATATAGGAAAAGCTTCATACAAAGTACTGACAATGGTAGCAAATCAGTATCCTAATGTTCTACAGCTGTATTAAACAAGCAAAGAGACTGTCAAACTTTAGCAAGTAAAACAGCCACAGAATCTGCAAATATCTCCCTTTACCAACCTTCTTCATGCATTCTTTCAGTTACACTGTGTAATGAATAGACTCTTCTGGCCCAGAACAATAACATCCATAGAGAAGACTGCTTACACGAGAAATGCGTTCTGTAATTTGTCCATTCATTCATTTATTCACCAAGTATTTGTTTAGTGTCTGCTATGTGCCTGGACCTCGGATGCGGTAGACAAAAGAGACAAAAATTTCTGCCCTGGTGATGCTTATGTCTTGCTGGTAGAGACAGACAGAATAAATAGGTAGAAGACACAGTATGTTAAAAGTTGGAGAAATAAGCACGTGTGAGGGGTCCCTGAGTGTGTGGAGTGGCAGTTCTAACTGAAATAGTAAGGGGAGTGCTAATAAGCAGTGGCTTTTGAGCAAACCCTTGATGAGGTGAGGAACTACTCATGCCGTAAAAGACACCTGCAGGTTAGGGTGTCCTCAGGTTGAGAAGTGCCTCATTTCACGCCAACTTTTCAACTTGAAAGATACAGTTTTTGTGTGATACTGCACAGATACTGTCTTACTGGGCAAATTTCCTTCCATCCTAGGATAATAAAAGGTAAAACCAGAGGGCACTTTACACATCATAGCAAGAATCACAATGAATCTGTGTTTCCTTCTCATGAGTGCCCTTTTAAAGTTTGATAGCTCAACAAGTATTGTAGACTGTACAGTTGTCCTTCAGTGGAAGGAGAAACATCTACACAAAGTATGTCATTTATTTTCTTCTCAAGCTCTTTCTTTAAAATACCTGCCATTTGCCATGGACCTCTAAGGCTGTCTGGCTCATAATGTTAGCAGGATCTTTTCTATTTGTGTAATTTGCTCCCGATAGGGCAAAAAAATCTCAAAATAATAATATTCTTGCATTTCTTTCCTCTGCTTCCTTCTACATGACTCCGCACTCACTAGTTGATTACGGCATCCACATTGCCTTGAAAAGAAGTAGGATTTTTTTTTTGAGCTGAAATGAAAAGTGGAAGAAAGATTAAATATTCCTTTTTTTTTTTGCTTCCCAAACAGGAACAGTACAACATGAGGAAGTGGAATCAATGCACAGAAATTAAGCTAATATCTTCAGTCTTTGTAACATCACTTGAGCAGCTTCACAAAGTCACTCATGCCTAGTGGCCCTATTAGTTGCTCTTCTCCCATCAATGTGCTTTGGAATTTCCATCAGTAGCTGGCTATGCATTAGTCATGGATCAGACAGCAGAAAGACACAGACCTTGCCAAGTCCCACCTAGGTAGCTACACAGGGAGCCCTCTATTGACCGTGGCCCAGAACATGTGCAAGCTACTTTCCATATGAGAGGGAGGGGCACTGGATTAAGAACCTGGTGACTGAGGAGGAAATATCCCCACCAGTGCTTTGGTGGGACTAGAAAATGGAGCCCACTCCTGACACTAGGAAGTGCCCATCTGAAGTTTAATTGAAGACAAAAATCCCAATTTTGGTGCCCAAATGTCTCTGCCTTTTGAAATTATCGTGTAAATTCACTGATAATTCTCTTAGATTCATGTGGAGACATTAGTATTTTAACTGTTATTCATGCCTTTTAAGGTGATCTTTAGAAGACCCTACATTGTGTTCTACTTGCTTGGCAGGGCTCCCTCCTAGAAATTGAGACAATAAACTTATGCACATGTGGACTGCAACATCAGAGCCCTGGTTCTGTTGAGTAAAAGTATAGAGAATTTTTCGGAAAACAGGCAGAAGTGTGGGTATTTTTGCTATTCTTTGCTTCACTTATCTACAGAGGTGGATCAAGACACCTGGGAAGTGGAAAATGTGGGTTAGCAAATAGAGAAGAGGCTGCTACTAGGCTGGGAAGTGCCTCCCTCATTTACAACTAGCCAGAGACACTGAACTTGGCTGTCCAGGCAAGCCTGGGTCCTGGGATATATGAAATAAACTTTGGCCTTTATACCGACTTATTCCTCAAGCCAAGTTGTTTCACCAACTTCGTTCTGAAGATCCAGACCCCAGTTGGCATGAATCCATCCCCCTTGCCATCTTCAGCCCTCCCGGTGGAGCGGAGGTTCTCACCTAAATAGAGAAGCTAAATTTCTACGTCCCGATTTTACCTTTTCCATGTGTACATCAGGCATTTTTCTCCAAAAGATTGGAATCATTTGTGTTGACATCTTCACTTATTCAATTCTACTTTCTCTTCTAACTTAGTAAGGATCTCTGCTAGTTGAATTGGCTTTAATTTCTTTTTCTCCCAGAAGTTATTGGAAGAATGCCCATTAACCATTTCATCATATTATTTCTATAAGCCAAATTAATTTTCCAGAATGTGCAGCATATCACCATAATGATTTGCTAAGACCAGTTGCATTAGAAAATATTGCCTTTCTATTTTTTCTGTATTTTTAAATTCAATCAAAAAGGAATAAACTTCTGCTGACAAAACCGCTTGGAAAAACCCATGCTGTTTAACACGCAATTTTCCTATCTTCGGTTTACTAGCTTCTTTGCCAAAACCCTGGTGGCGCGGCATCTGTGGCAAGTTGTCATCATTTCTACAACTAGTGGCCCTAACTGGAAACTTGGAAAATTCCCACTCCTGGACAGTCTGGCACATGGAAACATTCTTCTCAAGATGTGTTAGAATAAAGACTCATTAATGAACAGAAAACACCAACAGTTCTCATAGTTTACAATAGGCACAGGCCCAGTGCGGGGCTGGCGGTGGCTGGAATTGGCTTGGGGGAGTGGACCAAGTGCACCCCTTCCCGGCTTCTCATTCAGTGTTGTCTCATGGGCAGTGTGAAATTAGCCGTGGTTGGAGTCTATACATAACAGAAATTAGCAAACGCTACAAATAAGGGCTACCTCACACTCCTGCCCCTCTTCAGAAGAGCTGGGTTTTCAGCTCACCCTGGACATAATGCCCCTGGCTACCTGGGCCATGGCCAGGGTCTGAATGTTTGGTTCCCCTCTAAGATTCCTATGTTGAAATCCTAATCCCCATGTGACAGTGTTAGGAGGCAGGGTCTTGAGAGGTGATGAGGTCACGGAGAGGAGCTCTTGTAAATGGGATTAGCGCCCTCAGAAGGAGACCCCAGAAAGCTGCCTCTCCCCTCCAGTCACAGTGGGCAGGAGATCTGGGTGAGTGAAATCAGAGGCTGTCTGAGGGCCAGCTGAGAGGTCCTGCTGCCTGGATACCCAGCCACCAGTGGCCTCATATTTGGTGGACATAGGGAGAGAGGTCTAGGAATTCCAGGCTCAAATGACAACAGAGAGAGACACCATCTGTTGTATGAGCAAATTGCAGCCAGGAGTTTGGTCTGGGTCTGAATTCTGCCATCCCTGCCTGGGCTGTGTGCATCTCATTGCTCGGATCTCATGTAAGGCAACAGAGAAACAAAAAAGCCATGCCACCATGGAAATAACCATTAACATGATGAGCAAACACTGATACCACATCTGACATGACTTTGTGGCCTTGGCCCCTCCCGGCGTTTCAGCAAAAATTGTGCCCTTTGGATTGTGCATTTCCAGCTAGATCTGCAGCCCGTCTGTTGCATTTCTCTTTCCATTCCTTCTCCACCATTAGAGGTAGATATTCAAGGCTCCAAAAAGTATAAGACTTTCGTCTCGCCTTCAGAGGGCTTTCAGTCTCCATGGGGAACTCAGGTTTTTTTTTCTTTTTCTTTTTTTTTTTTTTTTAGTAGAGAGCAGGGCTGGGCTAAGATTTAAATAACTGAAACAAATCATAAGATGCTGAGTTTCCTGGAAGACAACCTAGGCCATACCATCCTGGACACAGGAAAGGGCAAAGATTTCATGACGAACACACCAAAAGCAATAGCAACAAAAGCAAAAATTGACAAATGGGATCCAATTAAACTTAAGAGCTTCTGCACAGCAAAAGAAACTATCAGCTGAGAAAACAGATCATCTATGGAATGGGAGAAAATATTTGCAAACTATGTATCTGACAAAGGTCTAATATCCAGCATCTATAGGGAACTTAAATTTACAAGAAAAAAAAAACACCCCATTAAAAAGTGGGCAAAGGACACGAACATACACTTTTCAAAAGAAGACATACATGTGGCTAACAAGCACATTTTTAAAAGCTCAGTATCACTGATCATTAGAGAAATGCAAATTGAAACCATGATGAGATACCATCTCACACCAGTCAGAATAGCTATTACTAAAAAGTCAAATAATAACAGATGCTGGCAAGGTTGCAGAGAAAAGGGACACTTATATGCTGATGATAGGAGTGTAAATTAGTTCAACCATTGTGGAAGGCAGTATGGTGATTCCTCAAAGAGCTAAAGGCAGAATTGCCATTTGACTCAGCAATCCCATTACTGGGTACATACCCAGAGGAATAGAAATTGTTCGACCATAAAGATGCATGCATGTGTATGTTCATTGCAATCCACAGCTTACTGCAAGCTCTGCCTCATGGGCTCAAGCAACCGCCCCACCTCAGCCTCCTGAGTAGCTGGGACCACAAGCCCACACCACCCTGTTCACAATGGCAAAGGGAAGAAATCAACCTATTGCCCATCAATGATAGACTGGATAAAAAAGAAAAGTGCTACATATACACTGTGGAATACTATGCAGCCATAAAAAAGAACGAGATCCTGTTTTCTGCAGGAACATAGAGGGAACTGGAGGCCATTATCCTCATATCCTAAATTATGAGAACACATGAACACATAGAGGGGAACAACACACACTGGGGCCTACTTGAGGTGGGAGGGTGGGAGCAGGGAGAGGATCAGAAAGAATATCTGTTGGGTACTAGGCCAATACCTGGATGTTGAAATAATCTGTACAACAAACCCCCAAGACATGAGTTTACCTATGTAACAAACCTGTACATGTAGCCCTTAACCTAAAATAACAGATTTTTTTTTAAGATACTGGGTTTCTGAAGTCCCCAGGAGGTCAGGAGGAAGAGAGAACATATGAGACAGGCGTGGTCAGTGAGGAACTTGCAGGGGTGGCAGAGGGGCAGGGAGCAGCAGAGTTTAAGCAGAGGAACCAGAAGCCCAGCCCTGGGCCCACCTCTGCCTTCCCGTGTGTGCGCCTAACTCAGCTTTCAGGTGAGAGCTGGAGCTCAGGAGGTTACGTGCTCACTTGGAGTTGCACGTCTAGGAATCCAGATGATGGTCCCACGTCTGCTGTGCGCCTGCCCTAGTATATTGCTAGGACGGCCAACCTCCACTCAGGGGCTGCAGCCGGCCAGCTGGCATCTACCAGGCTCAGCTGAGAGGGGTTCAGGGCCTAAAGGAGCTGTGGCGCGCCAGGTCTAGGCTGCCTGCTGGCTGCTGTCGGGATGAATCCTGTTGTAGATTGATTCTTTTTAGCAACCAGAGATTTTCAAACGTCAATGGCCATACAGTCTCCATGTTATCCTTCCCATCCTGGCACCACTCACTCCTTGTGCTGCAGCCACCATGGGTGCCTGAGTGAACAGCCCCCAAATTCTATTCTAACTCCTTATTTAAAAGATAAGGAGACCTAAGACTGAGGAATTTGAAATAAATAAGCAAACTGGCCTGCCTGAGTTCACTATAGCTGCCTGCTGGCCTGTGACTCTCACAGCTAGTACAACCTTCCAGCACCTTCCACGACTGGTTTCTGTAAGAGGGGATTGTTTTTCTCCCAGTCCCCCTAAACATTCTGTAGGTAATTACAGCACTCATGGCCCCATTTTCTCACTGTGTTATTTGCCACCCTGGGTCTGTTCAGATGGCAATCTCCTGAAAACCAGGCACCTCCTCCTTGTACCCATGGCACCGTCGTGGTGCCTGGCTGCTGTCAGCACAGACCATTAGCTCTGAGACACCTCCTCCTTGTACCCATGGCACTGTCGTGGTGCCTGGCTGCCGCATTAGCTCTGAGAGTTGCCCTCCCAGTTCCACGTCAGGTGGTAGTGTTTTGTTTTGGTGGCTTGGTTCATTTTTTCTAACTGCAGTATTATCACTGCATGGAAAGCAGAAGTAGTCTTCCCAAGTTGTGTAAAGACCCCATTAAACAGACACCACATGCTTCAGAGAGGCAGGAACAGGAAGAAGGAAGGGATTCCCTGTGCTGGAAGGAAACCAAGTCTACATTGTCCTGAGAGTCAGGGACTACACCTGTCTGTGCAGCATTTGGGAAGGTCAGAGGAGACAACTGTGTAGTGTGCACTGGAGAAGCGTGGGTCCCCTGTGCTCACCACCACCCTAAGCCCCTGTGAGGCAGGGGGCACGTGGTACACTGTGACCAGCACTCTCCCAGCTTCCTGCCAGGAGGAGCTCTAACTCTGGACAGTGGCCGTAACGATGGGCTTACATTTCCCCAACTCCTTAGATACTGTAAGGTTTTTCGCTTAAAGGAAATTTTAAAACATGATTTTTCAACAAATTGATTGCCAAAAAATCTCTGTGGTTAAGGAGGCACCTCCCTACTGGTCACTGCTTCCCCATGCCAAGCCTTCTGTCTGGGCAACTGCTCCACAATCTCCAGCTGCACCACGTGTTTACAAATGCGTTTCTCCCCGCCCCTCGGGTTTTTCTCCTCCTCCAGTGGTGAAATTCCAGAGGGCATTGAGTGGGTTACTCTTCACAAGCACAGAGTTAAGCCCAGGCCTGGTAGAAAGCACACAAAGAAGACCCAAGACCATGCATATGCTGACCCATGTTGGAGGGAGCTGTGGCATGGCCTCCTGCTGTTACTCTGTGGGTTCCTGATCCTGTTCTGTAGGTTTCTGCTGTTACTCTTTGAGTTCCTGCTATTACTCTGTGGGTTCCTGCTGTTACTCTGTAGGCTCTGCTATTACACTATGGGTTCTGATGTTACTCTGTGAATTCCTGCTGTTACTCTGTGGATCTCTCTGAATTCCTGTTCTTATTCTGTGGACTTCTTTTGTTGCTTTGTGAGTTTCTGCAGTTAGTTTACCTCTTTACCATCCAGACAGGAATTCTTTCACTAGGAATTGTGTGGATGCTGGCCAGCTGGGCTAAGTTTAATATTACTGTGTCCCCTATTGTGGTGGTGGGGTCTTGGTTTGGCAATTTCTACTAATACTCCATATGCAGTTAACCTTGACCCATTAGTGGAAGAAAAATAAAATCTCAGGCCTCCAAACTTACTACGCCAAAGGGAAAACACACACACACACACACACACACACACACACACACAGCCTTCCTTTTGTTCCCTAAAGCTTACTTTATCTTTTGTGAAATGTAGATCTACTGAGTATGAGATAGATGCATAACCCTCCCCCATACCTGTCTTTCCACATGTGAAATTTAGATTTGCTGTACTCTCATTAGAGCCTCAGAAGAATGTGACCACTTGCCTCATAGCCTATTCTCCCATCTTTCTCCTGCTGGCGCTTTTCCCTTTAAATATTTGGAAAAAAGTATAGGCCATAAATCCTACTGTAACCTGTGTTTCTTTTTCCCCAGGCACGTCCACAATTTGGCAAAATAAACCTCTAAATCAATTGAGATCTGCCTCAGACACTTTTTGGTTTACACAACAATCCAATCATAGATTTATTTGTAAATACACCTTCACAAGTTAAATCACAGAGCTCCTGAGCATTATTTATAATGGCAAACTATTGCAAACATTCTAAAGCCCATCGTAGACGTCATAGAGACTATTCGAATAAATTGATACATTTATATAACGGAATAATCTGCAACCTTGAAAGGAATGAAGGAAGGAATAGAGAGGGAAAGGAAGAAAAAGGAGAGAGCCAGGGAGGGACAGACAGGTGTTTAAATTGGGGATGTGCAAGCAGTATTGCCTACTTCATTGCCTTCACATTATTTAAAAACGTGGTCAAGAAACACTATTATAATAAGCACATCAGAAATAACTTCTAAAATTACTTTTCCAAAATACGAATCCATACTATACATTTCCTGTAATGTGCACCAAATGTAGATGCACACATTTTTAACAAGGAAAAGACTAATACTCATATTTGCTTGCTACACACCAGACGCTGTTTTAAATGTTTTGCACACGCTAACTCATTTGTTCTTATAGAAATCCTGTAGAGCTCACCGCCACCTCCATGTTTCTGGGAGGAAACTGAGGCACAGGGGCTGCGGCTCCCGGAATCACCTGGCCTTCTCGGCCACGCCTGCCTCTCCCCCTCCAGCCGCCTCACATTCTTTTTTCCTAATTGGAAAAAATTATTCACGCTGCTCTTCCAGGGCATTTCAACCTTCTAGAAAGATCTGACAAGATTCCAAACTGTTCTTATAAAGAGAAGCTGCTCGTGCCTGAACGCTGAGTGTGAGCGCGCAGTGATGCCCGAGAGTGCAGGCACCCCGGGCTAGGCGCCTAGCCGGGTGGAAACACGGCCGCAGGATGGAAATGCGGCGGCGGGGCTGCCCAGGCTCCTGTGGGACCCGCGCGGCGCGGGCACGCGCATGCTCTCACGGGCACGCACATCCTCCGGGACGCGCCTCTTCAAGACACGCGAACGCCTGAAGGCCCTGGCCGGCGTCCTCCCGTGAAGACCTGGACCGGCATCGTCCTCCGCCGCGCAGGCCTAAATCTCAGGTCTTCACCGTCATCTCCGGGCGATCGCAGGGATCGCGGGCACCGACCCCGCCCGTCCCTGCCCACCCGAGCCCCACCCTGCGCCTCCGCGCCTCCGCGCCTCCACGCCCTGCTCTCTAGACGCGCGGACAGAGGGGCGGTGCCTACTACGCAGGCTCACGCTGCTGGCGTCAGGACCCGGCAGCAACACTGCCACGCGCATCCGCGCTGGCCAATCAGCGCGGCCAGGGGCGGGGCTTCCCTGCGGCGCGCCGGGAGTCAGCGGCCCACTTCCGGCAATAATCGCCGCGACGCCGTCAGGTGCGGGCCCAGGTCGCTGGCGCGCCAGGTGGGCACTGGGGGCCGCGGGCGCGTCAGGTGAAGACTGGGGGCCGCAGGCGTGCTAGGTAGGTACAGGGGTGCCGCGGGCGCGTCAGGTGAAGACGGGGGACCAGCGGGCGCGTCAGGTGGGGACGGCTGGCCACGGGCGAGTCAGGTGAAGACCGGGGACGCCGGGCGCGTCAGGTGAAGACGTGGGGGTCGCGGGGGCCGCAGGGGCGTCAGGTGGGGGCCGGGGACCGCGGGCGCGTAAGGTGGGGACGGGGTTGCCGCGGGCGCGGCAGGTGCGGACGTTGGACCGCGAGCGCGTCAGGTGGGGTCGGAGTTGCAGCGGGCGCCTCAGGTGCGGACGTTGGACCGCGGGCGCGGCAGGTGGGGTCGGAGTTGCAGCGGGCGCCTCAGGTGCGGACGTTGGACCGCGGGCGCGGCAGGTGGGGTCGGGGTTGCCGCGGGCGCGTCAGGGGGGGACAATGGACCGCGGGCGCGTCAGGTGGGGTCTCGGGGGCGGCCGGCGGGTGTGGAGGGTTCGGGGAGCCGCCCACAGGTGCACCGCGTGTCCTCAGCCGCTTCCCCTGCCCACCTTCTGCCGCCCCTTCCCGCCCCCACCCTCCTAGGCCCTTTTGCGGGCCCGAGCTTGTGTCCGCCTCGCTGGGCAAGGTGTTTCGGGGACTCCTCCTGCCCGCGTTTGCCCTCCGGGCCCGGCCCTTGCCTCTTCGCCGGTGGACACCTGCCTGGGTGTGACCCTGCGTTTCTCCAGGCCACTCTGCCCCGTCTGCTGCTTACCTTAACTTACTCCTCTTTTTCCCTACTCCTGGTCTGTGGCTCTGGCTCTGTCTCCTCCCTTTAATTCTTTTCCATGCTTGTTTTTCTTGCAGCAGACACTAAGTTTGCTTCCTTCCCCCTACAGTAAGCTCAATTTGACCTTTTTCTCAATTAGATTCCACTTCTATCCTTGGGCCTATTCAAACTCATTTTGAAAACTAAAGAATCTAGAGAATAACTTCTTCCCTTATGAAGCTGTCTCTTGCTGCCTCCAAATCCTTAGCATCCGGCCCTAATCAGAAAAGACGTTTACTCTTTCATATTCTGTTTTCTCCTCGTCTTTACATGTTTTCCTTTCCCATGAGGAATCTGTGATTATCTCTGAGTCCTTCTTAGAGTAAATCTTATTTTTGACTCTCGGCCCTCAGTTTGCCATTTTTTTGATGTCCTTTCTGGATCAAATTTGTCCACACTTACAAGCAAAACACATAGGGAATCACATGTGGTGTTTTGAAATGGACTGGAGTTTTCTTTCCTATCTTGTTTTCCTTGTTTTAGTGTCTTTATATTTAGATTCATCATTACTTGAGATCATATTAGTGATATGTAATAGACGGTTAAAAAATGTTAGAAAGCTTATAATTTAATGGCATCTGTTTTTATAGGGTTTTCAGGAGCTGCTATTATAAACATATAGTGGTTAGGAGCATGGATCCTGGAGTGAGACTCCATCAGTTTGAATCCCAGCTCTGCTAAACTCTTTGCCTCCGTGTCTTCGTCTATAAAAGAGGTAATTAAACTTGTAAAACAAGAATAATGTTTTCTACCTTGGAAGACAGTGTGAGGATTAAATGAGACAACATATGTAGATTGATTAGAGTAATGCCTAGCCTATGGTAGGCTCTAATAAATGTTTGCCTTTATTATTGTTAAGAAAAAAATATGCTTGTTGAAGGAAATACCTTTTTTTGTTCTGAGTCTGTCATGACAAGAGTTTCCACCAGCAAATGAACTTCATAAAGTCCTTTTCTACTGAAGTACCTCACCCACATGTCCTACCACATGAAATAGAAATTAAGGGAAGATTTAAAATAGTTCATCATTGCAGGCTCTCTGAAATAAATTGGCATAAAATGTGCTTAAAATTTGCAAATTATACAAGCTACACCCTTTGAGTGCTTGCTCTTAAAAATTTAATAATTTTCAGGAGTAATTTCTAGTTTTTTTGTATTTGCAGATTCCCAAAACAAAGGTAATTTTAATTAAGCGTATAAAGCTCTAGCAATTCACATTATTTTTTAGCTGAACAAATACATTCCCATTAAAAGCAGTGGGTCGTCATCATTCTATAAAACTTTAGTAACATTGTTTTCTGATTTATAAACTCAGATGCCTCAGATTGGGAGTATTTTTGAAAATTTGAGATCCAGACCCCAGACCTTTTAAATTGCAACTTGTCTTTTTTTGTTTTTTTTTTTGTTTTTTGTTTTTTTTTAATCTGCATCCAGAGTTTGTGCTTTAGTTCATGAGCTGTATAGATTATGCTTTAAGATAAAACTTCATTGTGATCCAAAGAGCATACCATGACAAATCTGTGAGGTACACATATCTTCAGAAAAACAAATCTTTTCCTCTGTGTTGAAAATAAAGAATTTGGGCATGGACTATTTTTTTATTTCTATGGCTGCATTTCACTCCTTTCAACCCTTACAAAATCAAACTTAGCAGCTGAGAAATTCAGACCAAACTCTTCATTTCTCACTGAGTTGCTAAAATGAATTATCTGTAGAGTTTAGGTAGTTGTAAAAGAATTGGTTATAGTAATGGAAACACTAGGCAGGCTCTTTATATAAATGTTTTAGAGATTGTGAAACTAGAAGATAAGTGTATTAAATGATAAGTGGGCATAGTATCCCAACAAATAAGTACGATGTTTGTGTGTTACCAAGTTTTAAAATATTTTGTTAGCTGAGGATACCGGGATGTACATAGGAAGTCATCTAGATAAGGTTCTGTTGGCAAGATGTTTGTTGCCTAGTTGTTATTTTCTGTCTCCATGTTTTTCATTTGATCTGTCCTACAAGCCCTAGAAAATTTTTTTTCTCAAAACAACACTGCTCACTAATCTGTTGCTGAAAAACTTTTGATTACTTACAGAATAAGGTCTAAACACCTTTGATATTCTTTGATATTCTTCTATGATCTGGCTTCTAGTCATTTTTGCAGCTTATGTACCAGTCCTCCCGTAAACTTTCTCCATTTTATGCAATCTTTTCTGCTTATTTTTCTCAAATCATGGCACACATTTTGACCTTTATACTTATTCACCCACCATTCCCATGATTGATATTTTTTGCCTTGCTTCTCCATTCATTTAAGATCTAACCATACTTTAGGGCGAAGATCAAGTCCTAGTTTCTCGTCAGAGCTTTCCCAACTGATTTGCTTTCTGCTCAAATTTAGTTATTCTCTCTTTACCACAAGTTACAAGATTGTGGACATAATGTGTATGTATGTATACATGCACACGCACATATCTACACATAAACATACTTTATTATATTACATTTGTATGGAATTTGTGTGTGTTTTGCTATTGTTCTTTTTTAGTTCCTTAGCTAAATTGCACACTTTTGAGGGCAGGAACACCTAGCATAGTAACATTTAGTTGGTGCTCAAATGTTTGTCATTGAAGTAATCCTGTATTTGGTCTGTTAGCAATATTTTCCAGGATTATCCACTTGGTTTTTTTTTTTTTTTTTTTTTTGAGACAGAGTCTCGCTCTGTCGCCCAGGCTGGAGTGCAGTGGCGCAATCTCGGCTCACTGCAAGCTCCGCCTCCCGGGTTCACGCCATTCTCCTGCCTCAGCCTCCTGAGTAGCTAGGACTACAGGCGCCCGCCACCACCCCCGGCTAATTTTTTTTTTTGTATTTTTAGTAGAAACGGGGTTTCACCGTGGTCTCGATCTCCTGACCTTGTGATCCGCCTGCCTCGGCCTCCCAAAGTGCTGGGATTACAGGCGTGAGCCACCGCGCCCGGCCACTTGGTTTTTTTTAAAGATAGATTTCTGAATCCACAGTTTCAAGCTGATATTGAGAGATAATAATTATCAGAGATGTTCTGGCAGCCGTTTTCTGTTGTATGTGTTTTATGAGACTCAAGGTGCTACTTCAAACAGTTATCTGCTCCTTCATGGTCTTTGCTGCCTTTGGTGGGAATGTTCTTGAAAATCATAAAATCAGCTGTATGCTATTAGAGACGGTTTTAGATAACTCTAGGTTGACTGAACGTGGCCATTGAGTTTTGCATTTTAGGATGTTCAGTAGTTGTGAAGCAAATCTGTGAGACAGTTTATCAAAATCGTGCTGAAATTTAAGGAATATTTAAAGTATTTTCTAAAGCAAGAATTTAAATCATTATGTGACTGAAAAAGATATGTTTTGACTATAAGTGAGTTTAACAAGGTTTGAGATTTTCTTCATGTAAAGAATAATTACTTCATCATACATTTCCTACACCAGTCAAGAATTAAGCATTTGTGGTTGATCCAGGAATATTGTTGAAGTCTATGTAATTTCCTTCCTCTTTTTTTTTTTTGTATCTTCTAGGATTGTATAAGTGCCCTTTTAATAGTTGGTTCTTTGTTTATTATACTAGATATAGCTGGGAGGTGGTGTTTGGAGATGTTCATCTCTCATTTATTCTCCATGACGTAAATATTCTACATTATTCTCTATGATATAAATATTCTACATTATGAAATACCCTTAAGTCTGTTCGGGACATGAAATTAAAATAACACATTACAGGAACCACTTTTGCTTGAGTAATTCAGCTACCTTTCTGTAGCTAAATTCAACGTATATTTTCAACTCTTGCCATGCTTGGCTTTTTTATAACATTTTCGTTTCTGTCGATCATTTCTTTCTTGAAATACATTTTTCTCCTGACTTCCTGCTTCTCCCTGTACCTTTTTGTCTCTTCCTTTTCAGTTTTCCTACTTGGCTTTTATCTGCTGGTCCCTTAAATGGTGATATTTCTTAGGGTTTTTTTTTTTTCTTTTCTCTCTTGATTTCCCTCTCTACATATTCTGTGATATTGTTTGTGTGGTTTTGATTAGTATCTAAATGCTCATGATTTTCCTCTCTCTCCAGTCTAACTCTCTTCTGAACCATGGATCTATATATTTATTCATTCAGTAAATACTTACTGAGCTCCTGTTGTATTCCTGGCATTGTTCAAGGTAATGAAATACAGAACTGAACGAGACATTGCATTTTCTTGGAGGAAAACAGATAATAAACACATTGATCTTTTCAGACAGCCCTTACAACTATGAAGGCAATAGATAATGGCTTAGGCTGGTAGGGGTGGTGTTGAGGCAGCAGAAGGGTGCTGTTTGGACAGGGAGTCAGGGAGCCTTTCTGGGATGTGACATTTTCAGTCAGCAGTGTGAACATCTGAGGTGGTTTTTAGCCTCATGCACAGTCTCACTGTGTATGAGAATCATCTGTGGACCTTTAAAAACTACTTAAACTTAGCCTTCACCCCCAAATATTCACATTTAACTGGACCAGGATGAGACTAAGCACTTGAATGTTTAAAAAGCTTCCTGTGATGTTCATGCACAGCAGTAGTTGTAAACCACTGACCAAGAGGAGCAGAAATCGAGTCAATGGGAAGAACTAGCATTCGAGGTCTTGCTCTTATCAAATCATGAACTTCATGAAGTCAATCACAAAGTTGCATCATTTTTTAAGTAATAATTTTTATACCTGGAGTCTAGTATTTCAGACTGAACAGGCATGTCCAAAGCTGAAATTAATATCCCTTATTTCTCCTCCCCTAATAAAACCCTGCTGTTCTTTCTGTGTGCCTTATCCCAGAACCAGAAGCTACAAAACAAAATCTAGATAACTTCCTTGATTTCCTCCTCACGTTTCCAGCCAGTCGTCGAGTGCTGTTTGACTCTGTCTCCTAAATGTTTCTGCAGTCTCTGCTCTTCTGTTTCTTCTGCCACTGTACACTCTCACCTTTTAAAGGCCAACATTCAGAAGCCTCCAGTCCTAACTCCTTTCCTCCAGGTGACCCTCACCCCATACGTTCTCCCAGTGTGATACTGAGTTCTTTGTAAGCCACAAATCTAATTGAATCACTTACCTGCTTACATCCCTTTTTTGGCCCCTCATTGCCCTCAGAATAGTGTCCAGCTCCTCTGACTTGATCAGGCTTTAAATGACGTCTCCATCCTTAATTCTGGCCTGCTCGCTCTCATCTATTGTAAGCTTCAACCAAACTGAACTACTTGGAGTTGCTGAACATGAGTACATTTCATTTTCGGTTGCTCCCAACTTCTGGCAAAGAGAGAATACTTGTTTGGGATTATATTCCTTATTCCACACTCACTGACCCCTGCTTGTTTTTCAGGTATGAGCTTGGATGTCACCTCTGGTAAACCTTTCATGGCATATGCAGTGTTAGGCTAGTAAAACCTTTACTTACCCCATTTTATCACTTTAGTACAATCAAGGTACTATGTTATTGTCACTGTCACTACTGTCCAGCCAACATTTAATTAATGAGCAGCTATTTAAATGTTAAGAACTTTAATCTTTAAAGTTAATGAATAAATGTTCTAAGTGAAAAGAAACTTGTGCATTATATATACTTTTTAACATAAATTAACTTTTTTATAGGAGAACTATGCCATTTTTGGGTCAGGACTGGAGATCTCCTGGATGGAGTTGGATTAAGACAGAAGATGGCTGGAAGAGATGTGAATCCTGTAGTCAGAAACTTGAAAGAGAGAATAACCATTGTAACATCAGTCACAGCATGTAAGTTACAGCTGAGCAGAACCAGTCATTTGACAATTTAGCATGTATGGTCTTCCCTATTTTTCAAGTCCCTGCAAAGCTCCATAACTTTTGACACTTGCCCACCCAGAAGGCTGGTGTGAAGAAACAAGTTATTTAGCTAAAAAATGAGGCTAGTAGATTGCCTAATATTCATACATAGATGCTTTTTTCTTTTTTTTTAATTTAAAACATTTAATTCTCACGGTAATCTGGGAGAGAGGTATTATTAACCCCACATTATAGCTGAGGAACCTGAGGAAATTAAAATATACAGTTTTGGTGGCATATATCAGAGATGTAATAATAGTGACTTACACAAGACACATCAGTTTTTCTCCCTTAAAAACCTGAGTTGGCATGATGACTTTGCTCGTAACGTTGTCAAGGGGCCAAGCACAGTCTGTCTTGTTGCTCTGCCATCCCAAGAGTGCGGTCTTACCTGCGTGGTCCAAAACGGTGTGTTTATTACCTGCCACATTTGTGCTCGGGCCGAAGGGTAGACACGCAACCTGTGCTTCAGTGGCACAATCCAAAAGTTACATGCATTGCATTATTGCCCATACCTTATTGGCTAGAGCACTAGTACAAGGGAGGCTGGGGGTTGTGGCCCAGCCATGTGTCCAGGTAAAAACCAGAGACTGCATGAGCACAGAACCAGGGTAGGTGGGTATAGTATGATGACTGCAGTGCCTACCACAGTAGTGTTTGAGAATTTGGAGGGCTAGGAAGGTGTTGAGATAGCCTCCCTGGAATGTCATGAGTCTAGTCATTTATTGTATATTATTTTACATTTGGGTAATTATCAACTGTGTACTTGGTGGGCCATATGTTTTTCTGACAGAAGTTGAGTAACTTTAGACCAGAGACTGGCTTTTGCAGTATTTGAAGCAGAAATTAATTTTCTATTTTAGTTTTTGTGAGGATAACACATAATATGTTAAACTTATATTATTTAATGTTGATAGCTGTAAAACTTATTTAAGACTTGTAATTATGCTGTTGGTATTGCATAATGTTATACAGTTATGAATTTTCTAGGTCATTTTTACTATCTTACAATTTTTATGGCAATTTTTTAAAAATTTAAAGGTGGTTGACTATATCTAGAAATGTTAGGTGTCTCACATTTACTCCCAATAGCCACTATTAAATGTGGATTTTAGTATGGGGAGATATATTACAGAATGTCAGTTTAAAAAAAAGCTGTAATGCTTGAAGTACAGTGTTACTGCTGCATCTACAGTAAGGAATTTGTGGGAATTTGTTTTTTCCCTCATGTGTTCTTTTTCCCATCATCTCAAACACATTTTAAATGTCTGAGAATTGTTTTTTTTTTTACTCTGCACACACAGAATTGGAGAATACAGTCGAGATATGTTTTCTCTGCATAACTTGCTACCCCTCTGTCTCCCTTTCCCCTTCCCCCAAACTTACCTTCAGATCCACCCCTTTGACCAATGGCTGCTGTTAACACAAGCATCCTTGAGCAAAAAGGCTTTATGACAGCAACCCTGGCTGCCGCCTGTGGGGCACAGTGAGCGAGAACTAGTCAGCACCACCCTTTACCCCACCTAGTTGCTTTGCGGTACTGGGACCCCCCGTTTCCTACTCTGCCGTCTTGTTCATCTTCCTCTGACTTCTGTTCGTTCCTACCAAAATGCAAATCCAAACCTGTGGGTAGAGGCTATTGGTGACCTGAAACTGCAGTAGATATAATCCTTTCTCTGGAAGGAAAAAACATTTAACTTTGAACCTAAAATAGATTTTAAAAAGATAAGAAAGACCATATGTAACCACCATTTAAAATCACTACATAAATGGCCTTCTCTTTCCCCCACATGTCTTTGAGAAACATAGTACTTCCGATTCTTTGATTTAAGGTGGACTTTCTAAATGTAGAAAAAGAACTATAGTAAAAATAATTTAGGTAATCAAGATTCTACCTAACTTTGTTAATTTTCTTTTTTGTGAATGTGCATGAAAATAGAAGGCCTTTAGTATCCATCCTTCTGCTTGCTTTTCAACTCATTTTAGTATTAAAAGTTTAGATAACATTGGTAAGAAATTAAGCAATTCAACATGGTTGATCTGGGGGCAGCCAGCCAGTTCATACTCTGAATCCTTGATTAAGCTGCTCTTTCAAACAACATTCATGATATTACTGAGGTTTAAGCATAGTTTGGTGGACAGAGGATTCATCTTGAACCTGACCTAAGGAAGCCTTTTATTAGGCTGTTGATTCAGAATAGATGGTAGGTCGGCTGGGATCCAGATTGAAGAGAGGACAGCCAGTTAAGGGTTTCAGTAGACAGGTGAGAAATGTTGAGTGCTGCCTTTGGTGATGTCTACACAGCTGGACAGAGGGTCAGGATCAGTAAAAGAGTGAGTCACAGATTGAGTGGATAAGCCAAAAGGGTGGCCCTGAGAAGGACTCTGAAGGTTCAGCTGGGGAAATGTAAGTAAATAATCTGGCTGGGTCTTTTCTCCAGCGTGGTGTTGCTGCCACTCAGTTTTATGTTTGACGACAGAAATTGTATGATTCCTATAAAGGAAAGATATTGAAGAAGAGTGTCTAAATACTATATATGTTTAAGAATTTCTAACTTTTTCCGTCAGCGTTCAGTGTTGTTATGGGCACTGTAATTGCCTATTGTTATTTCAGTATAACTAGAGGCATTGTTGTGGATATATAAGAAGTTGTTCCTTGTCTTTTGTGAAGTTGACATTTGACAAGGGAGTGTGTAGTCAAATGTAACACATTCAGCTCAGTTTTGGCAGAGGTGCTTCTGGGGTCTTTGCGTTGAATTTACTAAATCATTTTTATTACATTATTTTTATTTATACCTCATAAAACATTATATTTTCTATTCAAATTTGAATGTCTTAACATTTATTTTGGTAATTTGGTTCTCAGTGGGCTTGGCAATGGGAGCCATCATAAATTTAAGGTTCTACCAAAATTATCTACAACTCTAGTAGTTCCCAGGATATCCCAAGATAATGGAATTCTGTAAAAAGCATTTTTAAATTGTGCATCCCCCAAGGAAACAAGATAGAAGAAGCTACATTTTTGGTTCCCTTATGAGAATGTGAACATAGTCTGTGGTTACCATGAGGGATAGAGAATTCAGGAGATCTTCTAGCCCTTGAAGTATGTACTGGGCTCAAAAGCCACTGTACCTTGGAGAGGAGACATCCTGTATCCATTTAAGTAAATATCCTTGTTAGCACATTGACATTTTCCCCTTAGGATGTTTAGAGTATTGTTACAGGTTTCAGCAAAAATCCAGATGACCTTCCTTATAGCCTTTCTTTAGTGACAGGAAAGAAAAAGAAAATTAATTTCAGTGTTGGACTCAGCAATAACTGTTTCAAGCAGTATTTGTTGTTAGTGCTTCTTAAATTAATGATTTTCTCTGGATCGTAAACTGTTGTCTCTGACTTTAATATTATCTCTTCCCCAAATTTGTGGGTTTTGTCAGTTATAAAGCAACATGTGCTCATTGTAAATGAAAAACACCAAAAAATTCATGTGTCCCAAAGCATAGAACGTGAAGGGTGAAGTTCCCTTTTTCTAGCTCAGATCCTGTTCTGCACAGTCACCCCCTGCATGGTCATGCTCACCAGATGTCAGAGTCTGCAAAGAATTACAGTCATTTTCTCCACCCCAATCCCTGCTGTTGCCTGGTGGTTTCAGTGTCCACCCGTGGGACTCACAGTCTCTGGCCTTGGTACTGTCCTCTATGTTCCTAGCATCTCCTTCTCTCCTCTTCTCTGTCTCAGCCACCCACTCCCATGGTCCAAACCCATGAATTTGGGCATCCCAGTCCTTAAGCATAATCTTCTCACCTTCCAGATTTTCTGACTACCACCTCAACTGTTGACTTATTTTTTCTATCCTATCCATCTTTTTTTCATGTCTCCTTTTGTCCAGCTTATATTCCATGATCCATTGTTTCAGTAACACTCTTGCCAATACCCTAAACTCCATCCCAGTCTTTTTTTAAAAAACACACTCAAATGGCATATTCCCAACCCTGAATGAACCAACACATGAGCAGCTAATAAATGTAAGAAAGAAGATTCCAACCAGAGAACACAGCGGGGACATCATCCATTCACTCACTTGCTTTCTCCTGAATTTATTCTCCCATTGCTTGCTCCTCCTTGTTCACCCACTCGTTGATTTGCTCTTTTCACTTGCTCACTCATTTATTCTTCCACTCACTCTGTAAACTGATGTTTCTTGGTCATCTGCTATGTGCCTGTAGGGCCTCCATGCGGCCCACAGCCCCACTGTGTTTGCTTGGTTGGCCTGCTCTACTCCCCTCTGTGTCACCAATATTTCAAACCTCCTTCACTCTCCTCTGATGTTTGGCTCCCTACACACCTCCTTCCCCATCTTTCCAAAACAACCAGATCTCTTGTGTCACCAGGAAATCCAGAGCCATCATCAGACTTCTTCTCAGAACCTTAAGTTGCTTTAAAATTTTCATCTTTATTAACTTTATCCTGAATCTTTATTTTTTGTCCAGAACACCTGAACAGAGGCTCATTTTCGTTAATTATCTCACAGGGAACAGTAAGTGTGTTGCCCTTTGCCTGTTGATTACCCCCAGGGGTAGAGTCCTAGGTATTTTTCCTACGTGAGGGGTAGTGGCTTTGCTCTGCTCTGGATGGGAAGGACACAGCTTTCCCCCCCCTCCAGAAAGGGTTTCCTTAGAAATGGAATGGGCCAGAGTCCTACCTCTACTCCTTTGTTGGCAGATAAAATCTACCCAGGAGCCAGACTTAGAGATGTCTCTGGTCTTGTTATTACACGTACTGTTACACCTGTTTAGTCCAAATGTATTAAGGATTTACTATGTGCTATGGTGTCAGGATACAGCGATAAATGAAACGTAAAAACCCATGTCTGATGGAGCTTGCATTCTGGTGAAACCGATAGGCAGTGGACAAGATGAGTTCCATAGTGTAGC